AATTTCCCTGCTTATCATATCTAAAAGAATTTACATATATTAGAATTCTAATAAAAAACTTTTTGTTGTAAGTTTTTGGTTCCAAAACAGAGATACATTACTTATTTAACTGGGATGTTTTAAAATCAAAACCTTTATTTATTTTAAAAAAAAACTTAAGGAGTAACAATAAAGGCAATTTTTGTCTATGCTTTGGAAAATATTTGTTCAATAGAAAAAAAGTCCCGAGAACGAATCTTATTATCTGAAATACAAATTAATTTTTTTTAAATTCCTTCGTGTAGTGTCAACTATTGTTTTAAGTGGAAGGACTCTTGTTTCCACACCTCGCTTTTATGCAAACCCACCCATTTTCCCCTCCTCTCTCTTCTGTCCCTGTGCTCTCACTTGCCGCTCTCCCAAAAAGGGTGTGTACCGGCAGGACTTTAGAGAGAGATGGCGATAACGAGACCGGGTCCAAGGGAGACGGCGAGAGGAAGACAGGGAGAGGGAGATACTCGGTGGTGGCAGCGGCTTTTGCTCTCTTTCGTTCCGGCGGATCGCTCCGTCTCTGTTGTGCTTATTGCTGCTTTTGGGGGCCGGCGACAAGGATGCAAGGATACGGCTAGCCCAGCTAGGATATACACGTATATATATATATATATGTATGTATATGTATATGTAAGGATATCGGGCTGAGGCCCAAGTCCTGGCGCTGTTTTCCTCCATTCGATTCAGTCGTACGTGTTCGTTCGTTGCTTTCGTTCGGTTTTGATTCCATTCGGTTGTGTTTCTCGTTCGAGAACATTCATTTATAATTTTTTACTCCTCTGCACCGGTTTTTGTGTTGTATATATACTTCTATACATGTATATTAAGTTACGAATTTGTTGTGTTCTCGGTTTTTTACCCAAAACTAAAAACTAGAAACTAAACAAAGCAATAAACTTTGCAACTCCCGGGACTCGACATCGATTATCGTGCAATATATCTATAGAACACTTGGGAAAAGTCGCTTAGCACTTGGCTGAATTTGCAATTGTTATTACACAGACCCTAGTCAAATCCCATTTTCTTTCGCATTTTTTTCGAGTGTGTGCCTCGAGTGTCTGACTAAAAACAGCTATAAACAACGCCAGATCCCATCGGTTATATACCATATATATATATATATACTATATAGCCAGGAAATCGTTGGACAAAGGAGCGTGCAGGCCAAAAGAGAGCGAGCGAGCGAGTCGACGCGAAAGAAAGTTTTTTGTGCAATCAATATACATCTATTATATAGTCAGTCAGTCATCTACAACCCCCCCGCCCTCTTCCTCCTCCTCATCCACTGTATGACAGTGCTACTTCTCAAACGCACCTCGCTCGCAGAATTTCACGATTTCGTCCCGCCACCGAAGCACGTAAGTGGTAATGCCATGATCTAATCAAGTCTATCTGGCCATCTATATTTATTCTTAGCCAAACGCCTGCCAAAATAAATCGATAAGGGGGGCGCCATTGAAAATTTCCATGACATCTTTTATTTGTTTTCCTTTGGGTTATCGTTGCGGTGCTAAAAGAAAAACAAACCCTTGCAGCTAAAGGTATTGAAAATATATTTTAGTTTCCCAAAACGAGTGAGGTAAAAAAAGCAAAAAGTCTGTGGGTTTTTGGTGTGGTAACATTACTAAATAATATATATTTTAAATATTTTATTTTGTTTGTTTTCCGTGCTTCTCGTTGCATTGCTAAATAGTAGTATAAGCCCAAGCTGGCTTTGTATTTAAAAAAGGGAATTAACAATAATTTAAATTCGATGGTTCTGTAAGTCGCCTCCAAATACTTCGAGTTTTTTATGAGATAATAATTCTCAATTGGTCAGCTTTAATATAGAATAGAGTGCTTTTCTAAGCACTCATTGAGCTATGCAAAAAAAAAATTAAATAAATATAAAGTAATTCGGGTTTACTGCTCCCATTTGCCTTATAAATATTCCCCTTTTGGACTTCCCCGTTTTTTTACAGGGACTTGAGGAGTCATATGTGTATCCTGACCCTCCTCAAGGCCCTCGACAAATGCCAACCGACACACATTCGCAAATGAGGTCACAAATATCGGCGCAAAAGTGTCAATTACACGTTTTTTGCCTCTCCTTCGCCGTCATCTTTTCACACACGTCCTGGGCGGGGGTGGGGCAGCGGGGGGTTAAAGGGGGGAGCCGTTTGCATTATCCAGTGTCACGCCGTGCTGTGCAATTAAAGGATGTCCCCGGCTCGAATCCTGCATCCTTGTGGGCAAGGAGTCGCCCCCTTGCATTTCCACTGCACTTCCTTTTGTTTGCGACGCCTTTTGTGCAGTGCTCTTTTCATCTCGCCTCGGTACACTGGAAGAAATAAAAATAAAAATCAACGAATACCAATTTGTAATACCAAAAAAGTTATTATTTTATTAATTTTGATACAATATGTATAAATATTCTTTCTAAACTTTATTTGGTAAAATTTATAACTTTTAGAGATAAATAGATTGTGCTTCGTAATATCAAATAATTTTCATATAAATAATACATTTTATACACATGAATATTTCAAGTAAACATTTTTAAGCATATAAATAATAAGCTTCATAAACATGAATATTTCAATTAAACATTTTTTCGCTCAGTGATTGTGGCTTTTAACCCAGTGCTGCACCTTTTATTGAGTTCAACGAACGCAGTAACAGCTGTTGGGACCCAAACCTCATTTAACGTGCCACGATCCTTGCACAGAGCGAAAAAAGGCAAACAAGCGGGAGTGGGAAATATGTGGAAAAGACACGGGCGGAAAACTGGAAAACCCAAACACAGGCACACGGGGGTTCAATGAACCCGGACGGGGCAGGACATTAGGCAGGACATGCGGCCCGTTTGTTTGTTTTTCGCGTCAGGTTTTTACCCTATTTTCAATGCAGTCCTTTCACAAACACGCACACACAGATGCCGGCGGCCAGGATCTAGGAAGTCCTTTTTTGCTTTTTCAACCCCTATATAAGTTCCAATTGGAAACAAAAATCTCAAGGAGATTCCATTGTTCTGATATCAACCAGAAAATACACTATTTTTAGATTTTAAAAAAAGGCATAATAATGTAATATAAATCCGCAACAGATATTTAAGTTTTTTAAGTTGACCAAATTTTGACTCCTTTAATAATATATAGTTGGTCTTAAAAAAATTCAAATGTATTTAAACTTAAGTATAATAATTATTATTTTTTAAAAAGCAGATAAATCTAAGCTAAATTTGTTTACTTTCAAGTATTTAAGTATCGTTTAAAAATATTCAGATAGCACCGAAAAATTTTTTAGTTAAATGAATAATTGTATCTAAGTTAAACGAAACTGAAGCTTTAATCTCCATTACAAATGTGATTTTATCGAAGTTCAAAGAAAAACAGCCACAGATTACGTGTTGGGCACTTCCCCTGTTTTGTATAAAACAAAAGTAACCATTTGACACGTATTTTTTTAATGCGATTTGGTTTCTGGCGTATTGCCCTGGCGAATTTGTCTATTGTTCTCTGCCGAATGCTGTGGAGGGAGCAATAAATGTCCATTATGCAGGGTTAGCATCCTTCGATTCATATCATATATCAGGAAATTACACATGGGACTCGCATATCGCATATCTACCTACAGCGATTTAATTAAATTCCAAGCCATTAGGCGGGTGTTTTGTGCTGACAAAAAGCGGGGAAAAAAAGTCGAGAAGAGTGGCATTGTTGTTTGATAAACAGATTTCGGCGTTGACTTACCCTTGTCCATGGAATTGAGGGGTGGGGGCGGTGATGGTGTTCACTGTATTGCCGCCGAAAGGTGGTGACAGTAGTCACTCGGAGTCCTTGCCAACTCGTGTGTGAAACGCGCTTATCGGACACTTTTCATCGGCACATCACCCATATTGGCAAATTGTATGGCTCGAGAAAATGAGACAGCATTTGAAAAGGTTTTTCAGCTAAAAAGTGCTTAAGTGCTAGTGTTATTACCCTTGAAAGAGATTAGCAAAGTTAGCAGCTAAATTGGGGAATTGTGTATGTGCAGTCGACCGAAATGAGCTCAGCATATTGTCACTATATAGAAGCTTTAGCGATGTCTAAAAGGGTACAACTCTGGTCATTATTTTGTACTTACAGTATTTTATTTAAAAACAAGAGAGAACGCTATAGTCGAGTGCCCCGAATATCAGATACCCGTTACTCAGGTAAAGGGAGTGCGAGGGAGATGGAGATAGAAACTTTGATCACGCATAACTTTTTAACGAATGGTCCGATTTGAAAAATTTCTTCTACATTTCGATAGGTATTGATAAACACAATAAAACTGCATTTTTACTTTTCCGAAATATTTAAATTTTTAAAATATAAGCGATTGTGGGCGTCAGAGGGGGCGTGGCACCATTTTGAAACAAACTTGCGCTGCGTAGGAACTGCTCAAATCTACATGTAAAATGCCAATCTTCTAGCTTTTATAGTTTCCGAGATCTCAGCGTTCATACGGACAGACAGACGGACAGACGGACAGACAGACGGACAGACGGACAGACGGACATGGCTAGATCGACTCGGCTAGTGACCCTGATCAAGAATATATATACTTTATAGGGTCGGAAACGCTTCCTTCTAGCTGTTACATACTTTTGCACGAATACAATATACCCTTTTACTCTACGAGTAACGGGTATAATTATAAGTAATTATGACCTTCATTTTTGCTGCACAATTTTATTTTAAGATACAAATTTACTATGCAAAAACGAGTAAGCCTTTTTTAAGAACATTTCAAAGCCTTTCGTGTTTTATAGAAAAAATTAATAATTTCTGAAAATTTAAATATTCCATAATTTTATTATGTTTCAAGAATTTAATAAAATGCAGTTAGAAAAAGACTTTAAGACTATACTAATAAAATAACTACTTTATATGTATAAAACTAGAAATAAATTCTGTGAGAAAAATTAAATGAAATTTTTTGAATTTACTTCCTTTTTTTTGCAGATTGAGTGAAAACGAGCGAGCAATCGAACAGCCATCATTTATCAGAAAAAAGACACGGATCACCGGAAAAGAGGGAGATTTTTTAACTGCAAAGGGAAAAGCAAACAAACGGGGCAAAAATAAATAAGAGGAGACGTAAACAAAAACCAAACACCACCAAATAAAACCAACTACTATTAATTTAAAGCAAACATAAACGAATAATCATATTCAAGCGGTATATATATACAAGAGGATTACGGATAACACAACTAACTATATATATACGATATATGAATGTATATTTGAAAACCAAAGCTAAGTTCCAGTCAAAGAAAAACCAAAAACCAGCGCAAATTTAGTAAAAGTATAAAAAAAAGAAAAAAAAAACAAATTATTGCTATCTTTTTGCATTTTTGCAATTTTATAAAAAATAACAAAGAAAACGAAAAAGAAAATCCAAAAACTACAACTAAAGATCATAATAACCTTTAACATTTGGAGAAGCAAAAAAGAAGAAGTAAACACATTTAGCAAAATTTACTCTTTTATCTAAACGAAAATAAAACAAACAAAAAAAAAAACAAAAACACAAATCAAAGTAAAATCTAATTCAAGAATAAATTAAATTTTAAAAGTTTTAGAAAGAGAACGCTCTAAACATAACTTAAAAAGCAAATACATTTTTTTCGCGATCGTAGTTGATCTAAAACCTCCCCAAAAAGAAAAAAAACCGATATATAAAATCAGCGGGAAAAAACGCTGGACTTGTGCAAAGCGCAATCGCAATCGCAAATAAACTAAACTAAAACATAAAAACGAGCAGCCCCTAACTTGTAAGCGAAAAACAAGCAACCAAGCAGTGAGATTAACTAGGACTAACCAGAAGGACGAAATCAGGACAGGATCAGGATCAGGATGACCAACGCCATGGACATAGTGAAGAACGGCAGTGCCAATGGCTCCGTGGACGGCAGCAATGATGAGTCGCGCACCAATTTGATCGTCAACTATCTGCCGCAAACCATGACGCAGGAGGAGATGCGATCGCTCTTCTCCAGCATCGGTGAGCTCGAGAGTTGCAAACTGGTGCGTGATAAAGTCTCAGGTAATTTGGGTAAATATTGACCAATGCTACTACGACTACTTCCATTTCCCCCAGCCCTCTTCCTGTTCTTTTTTTATATATTGGCGTTTTAAGCTAGTTCTCTTTGTACATTTTTAAAGCTCTAGTAGAATTAGAAGAACTTTTTTTGAATCGCAATTTTATTTACCAATTTTTAAAATTACATTGTTTTCTTTTAGTTTGTCTTAAAATGTATTCATATTTTGAATTAAATGATGTCCAACTTTTTTAACACTTTTTTGTACATTTTTGCTTATTATATGATGAAAGCTAACTTTTAACTAACTTTAAAGTCAATTTCAGAAATTCATTATAATTATTTGCAATTGCTTTAAAAAAGTGTTGAGCATATTATAAATTTTAGTATATATTATATTATATATTAATTTACAAAAAAAGCAATACAAAAAAAAATAAGTTTAAAAGCTTTTCAATAAAATCCTGGAAAAGATAATAGTAAAACAAGAAAAAAATTTATATTTTAATTGCTTTATTTTTAAATATTGTAAATATTATAGTAATTATTTTAGAATTATGCCAAGCATGATTTTATCTTATAGCATTCTGTCTTTCCTCTTTATTCAATGACTGCATAATTTCTAAACTAATTTTGAACCATTTGTTTTCAGTCTTGCCAGCATCGTTGACCGCTCTCAACCCGGCACTGCAGCAAGGTAAGTTCTTATATTATAAATCTGTTGCGATTTGTGTGTAACCATTATTATATCCGATTCGATTTAGGTCAGAGCCTGGGCTATGGCTTTGTTAATTACGTAAGGGCCGAGGATGCTGAGAAGGCTGTGAACACCCTGAACGGTCTGCGTTTGCAGAATAAGGTTATTAAAGTATCATACGCCCGTCCAAGCTCAGAATCTATTAAGGGTGCTAATTTATATGTATCGGGTCTTCCGAAAAATCTATCACAACCAGACTTGGAGGGGATGTTTGCTTCGTTCGGCAAAATAATTACATCCCGTATACTCTGTGATAATATTTCTGGTGAGTTTTTTATGTTAAACTATTGGTAATCCAATCAAATGATAACAAATTAGGACAAAACTTATTATATTAAGTTGGGTGCTTTGTTAAAAAAGTTTGTCAATAAATTTGTTCTTTAGCATACAACAATTAAAAAACAATTTTCTAAAAGCACATTAAAAAATATTCAAGAAAACAGTGTATTTAAAATAAACTAAAATTAGATAAATTTAAAGTTATATTCTTTGGGAATGATTAAATTGACTTTTGACATATCCGAATTTTGGACATATATGAATTAGTTAAATTAATTGCATATAATAATAATATGTAAAAATCCTCATTTCCTCAACGTATTATAATAGACTTTGGATATATATATTTTTTTAAACTAATTTCATTTTGATTTGTATACTAATTCAATTTAATTTTCAGGTCTATCGAAGGGCGTCGGTTTTATCCGCTTCGATCAGCGCAACGAGGCCGAGCGGGCCATCCAGGAGCTGAACGGCAAGACCCCGAAGGGATACGCCGAGCCGATCACCGTTAAGTTCGCCAATAACCCGAGCAACAGCGCCAAGGCCCAGATCGCCCCGCCCCTCACCGCCTACTTGACCCCCCAGGCGGCAGCGGCCACCCGCCGTTTGGCCGGAGCCCTGCCCTCCGCCGGTCGCATAAGGTTCGTATTAATTCCCAGGACGATCGCATATATGTACTTTGTAAGGAAAGAAATAGATCTGTGTCTCAGGATTAATGCTCACAAAGAAACAGTTTCAAAAAGTAAAACATTCACTTTGAAGAATTAATTTAGTTCTTTATATCATGATGTATCATTATTCAATGATCATCTAATAACCAAAATAAACAGCCTATATAATTTAAATTTAAAAACATTAAAATGCCATGTGAATGAATTTAATTAAGGCAGTTTTTTTTAAGAGCAGTTTTACTGGGTGCATAATGTTCCACATAAGTTATATTATATATAGTATATCATAATCCTGAGATTTTTTGTCTATATAAGTCTGAAAGAATTTCGGTCCGATAGCATTTCCGATTATATCAACCCATCCACTTAGATTAAAACCTAACCTAGCTTAAAATTCCTAAGAACTTCTTTGTTTCTGTTGGTATGTACGTATATTTTGCAATTTCATTAACTAATTGATTTATATTTATTACACAAACCATTTTGTTGCTCCTATTTTTTCTTTCTTTCTTTGTCTTTTCAAAATACATTTTATCATCATTTTTAGCATTGGAAAGAGTCCCATGTTAGCGATTAACAAGGGCCTACGAAGGTGAATTTATTGATCTTGATTATTTTGCACGCTCAATTGTGCGAATTGTTTATGTTTGTTTATTTATTTTTTTTGGCTGAAAATAGAAAAATATATTCAAATATATATATAAATGTCTAGCAATAATGTTGATACTTATATACAACGTTTGTATATATTTCAAATTCGTATTATCTAACTTTAATTTATTTTTATTTGCTTTCACTGCTTTGGCTTTTTATTTTTTTCGTTTGCATGTGAGAGTTACCTTTGATTCTAGTTTAATTTTATATCCTGATTTTAATAAACCAAACATAATACCGAATCATTGGGCAATTTGTTTTTTTTTAATTTAAAACTGACTAAATGGAATACTTGATATATTTTACTTGAAGATTTTGCTTGAGTTTAATCATGAGAGGGTGTTACTAATACTTAAAATGTTCATGTTAATTTTCTTTTTAAACTAAATCGGGTGTATCTCTCAGAATACATAATCTTCATGTTTATGTATTTTTAATATTCAATTTGTTGAACAGTATGTTTTACATTGTCTTAATTTGTATTAAAACCTATAAAAAAAATGAAAAGGTTATTGTATTCTTGTCTTTATTAATTTGTCATTAAAATGTAGGGCCTAGAAAAATAAAATGGATAGGTATTTTTATATACGTTACTCAGCATGTACTTCAAATCATTCCATCCAAGGGGACTACCTTAAATGTATATGTTTAATGCATTTACTCTTACAAGTATCTACTTCTTTATTTAAAGGTTGCAAAACTGGTTATCAAAAAATTATGAATAGGTTCCGTTTTCATTGTTACTTAGCATGTACCCTGAAAAACCAGATATCGAAAGATCAAAGTCCTTTAGTTAAGTGTAAAGGAGGGCCTAGGAGAGTATATATAGTAAAATGAATTAATTGATGTAAACTGCACTGCAAAATGGACAACTAACTAATTTAATTTGTTTATCTCACCGCCGGCTTGGATCGCAACTCCACTTTAGGTACTCACCCCTGGCTGGCGACCTCTTGGCCAACTCGATCCTGCCGGGAAACGCGATGACCGGCTCCGGATGGTGCATATTCGTGTATAACCTGGCCCCGGAAACCGAGGAGAATGTGCTGTGGCAGTTGTTTGGACCCTTCGGGGCCGTCCAATCGGTGAAGGTGATCCGCGATCTGCAGACCAGCAAGTGCAAGGGATTCGGGTTCGTGACCATGACCAACTACGATGAGGCCGTGGTGGCCATCCAGTCGCTGAACGGCTATACCCTGGGCAATCGGGTGCTCCAGGTCAGCTTTAAGACTAACAAGACCAAGACCACTTAGGCGAACCCGCCACTTTGGGCTAGACCTCTCCAATACTCCGCGATCCGTTTGATTTGACGAACCTAGACTATTGACTATTGACTATCGATCTGATGTGGGACAGTGTAGTCGAAATTGCGAAATTAGCGCGAATTATGATGTCTATCATTTGATTTGTACGCTAAACGAAATTATTATGATTGTAATTCTAATGAAATCTTAGTGAAAATTGATTTATTTCCATCTGTATAATTTAATTCTATTAACTAAACCAAGAAACCAAATAACAAAAACAAAAAAAAAAACAAAAACAAAGCTTGAATGAGGCAACCAAATAACACAACACAGAAACTAAGGCAAACTTTAGAAAAAAGATGAGCAAGACAACTGTCTATAAATTGACAAAAGAGAAATATGAGAATATGAGAAAATAATAAGGTCAAAGGAAAAACAAAAGAAAACAAAAAAGGAAAAATAAAAAATAAAAAACCGCAAAAATATAAATGAAAATGAAAATGATCTAAGTCGCAATATATAGAAACTATTTTTTTTTAAACTTATGTATATGTAATTCAATTCGATTATATTCAATTAAACAGAGTATTTAAACAAGCTAACCAAATGATTTAATGTCTATTGATTTAAGATTTACCAACATTACTCTCTCAGCTTACCTAAGTACTTATTATAATGAATATGCATAAATATATTGTATTGTATTGTATTTTGTGTTCGATTTGCAACCTTACCTTACATTACATTACATTACATTAATTCTAGTGCTATTCAGCTCTTATATTTAATTCGATTCGCCATGATTTACACTCGAAGACGAAACGAAAATCGAAGATAAAGCCGCGATATATCCTCCAAACGTAACAACAAAATCCCCAGCACCCACACACTCACTTGTAATCATTATTATATATATGTAACCAGATTTAATTACCTTTTTTTCGTCGTCTAAGATTCGTATTCGTATTCGTCAAGTGCAAACCAAAGTAAATGAAACCAAGAAAACTTATTATATTATATTAAATTATATATTATTACGCCTACTTATTATTCCATTTTTATAATTATTATAACTTATTGAACGAAACCAAGCAAAACCAAACAAAAAAAAAAAACAACTACAACTAAAAATATATATTTATTATTAAATAAATGTGTGACTTATTCCAAAAACTATGCAAAAAAAAAGAAAAAAACACAAAAAACTAAAACACAAAAATTTGTTTTCTTTTTTTCCTCAAATATCCACACACACAAACCTTAACTAGAGCTGGCAAATCATCGATCATCCCTCGGTAGTATGGATTGCGTGTTTTAATGCCCACTATCGAGGTTTAACGAACGACATTTCTGATGACACTATCATTCAATGTCGATGGTTTGTCGGCTCTTACCTTTACCCACCTGAAAATTGGCAATATTGCAGGCAAAACGCTTTCACAGTTGAAGTGATCATTGAATTATTGGATCGGATCGAAGATATACCGAAATATGGCCAGCAAAAATCGAAATAGGAACTTCAGCCGTGGAAGTCGCTCCACACCACCACATACCAAACACACAACAACAGCACTCGCATTTATACAAAGATATTTCAAATATGAACTAAGTTTCAATGCTCTCTAAAGAATAATTAAGTTTTAACTAAGTTTTACGCCTATATAAATATATATCTAACCACACAAAAACTATATGTACGCGCATCTATATAAATTTCTAACAAAGATTGTTTATTCGATTTTTCAATACGATATTCTAGTTTTCAAATCCGAAATCATTTAGTAGAATCCACCAACAATCAATGTGTGTGTCTGTAGTTTAACTAACGACAAGAAAATCGAGAGCAGAGATGAACATTTTTTAAGAAGCAAACTTTTTTTCGTGTATTTAGGGCTTAAGGGTCAGGCCACATCTACATGGCAATCGGCCATGAGGCGAAAAACACTAAAAATAATTAATACAAGAAAAAGAAAGTAAAAATGAGAACATACTTTAAACTAGGGAAAACCAAGGAAAACAAAAGCAAAAAACTCAAGCTAAGAGTTGCGAGCGCAAATTGAAAACACCAAATTTTTAAATATAATATATTATATATATATAATATAAATGATGTAAAATTTTTTAAACAAAGATTTATAGTAAAATTTATTAAAATATATATATATACATATATATGTATATATAAATATATATATTAAGTATGTATAACGATATATACAAAATACACAAGGATAAGAGAATCAAGAGAAACCATTAAGGAATCACGAAATTCAAAGGAATATGAGCAAAGTGAAATGTGAAATACATTAAAAAAATACCAAAAATTACCTAGAAACGAGAAATCAGTAGAAGACCGGAAGTCCTTGAAAGATTACTGCTCGCAAGCAGTGCTCCCGGCTTCCGGGCTGCAATAGCAAGCAGTTTACCATTGGGACTTCCAAATCGATCTTCAATCGATTGCTGATTCGTTTTCCACTTCCCGGCGACTAGTTAACCTACTCAATACTCAATATGGCATATGGAATAATCAAGTAATCAATAATATCCGCAAAATAACCGCCGCAACGCTGCTTCGCAGGCGCGTGTGTCATTCGCAAAAGCAATATAGAGATGTGGCGCGAGTTGGCTGTTTTGGCCCATGCTGACTTACTATATATATATATCTATATATATATATCGGAGGGAGGGAGGCGAACGGAACGCAGTTGTACAAATCGCAACTCAGCGACTCGGTCACATTCATTCACGGCACTTACGCCGCCACTTACAATTTACCCGAAAAAAAAAACAAAAATAAAACCCATATTAACCAGCAGCATATTAGTTTAAATACAGCTAATGCAGCAAAACACAAAGAAATCCGTAAATAAGAAAAACACACTCGGAAATAAGCAAATCCACACACCGATCAGTTGGCGGAGGTTCTTCGATATTAATTTTAGTGAAAAAAAACCGCAGAATGCAAAACTAAAACTGAACCCAACAATGAAAATCATCAACTAAGCATGAAATGCATTTAAAAATTAAATACAACAAATACATATTTATATATATATATAGATGTACATGTCTATTTGTATGGCCAGGATAGCGAAAATATGAAAATATAGCCCCGATAACAGAATCGAAAACCGTAACAGAGCAACACCAAATACGAAGAATTTGAAGATAGAAATCCGAGGAAAAACCCGAATAACCCAAAGTGAAAAGTGAAGCGACTTAGCAACGCCTCCCGAAGAAACACCCGAAAATCAACTTCCAACATTTTTATTGATATACACTAAAATTTAGACATGTAAGGCGATTTCATCGATACCAAAATCTAATCTAAGTCGAGAATTCATGCAAATTAGCGAATATGAAACTTCAATTTAGTGCGTAAGCATCGGAAAATAAATGCGACAGATTATGCAAATAAATAGGCGAAAAAAACACAGGCCAAAAAGCGTTAAAAAACCATAAATTAATACAAAAAATAGTTGGTCGCCTGAGGCAAAAAACACGGTAAGCGGTGCAAGCAGAACATCGACAGCTTCCAAGCAGTGCATCTCAAGCAGTCGAGGGACTTTTTACCAGCAGTTGTCAAAATGAAAATTGCTTTAGATTTAAACGAAAAGAAACAAAAGAAAAACAAATGTTGAATGATTTGCAAATTCACGAAATTAGTTTTAAATAAAACAACAATAAGGAGGAGACAAAAAATATACGTAGCCGCTTTGTCAGACGGAATGCGCCCAAACCAAACTAAGTAACTAAGTAAACTAAAACAAAAACAAAAATCGCAAGAATATTTAAATCAATTTTGTGCATAAGAAAAATCGATAGCCGTTATGCATATATATATGTAAGTAAACTATATATATATATGTGTGTGCAAGAACAAGATCACGATTCAAAACAGAAATCTAAACTCAACCTCAAACTTAATTAATTATTATAAATTTGATTGTGTATGCTAATTATTATTGTCTATAGCGTATCTTACAAATATTATATATACTTTTTGTACAAATCAAAGGGAAGCACCTATTTATGCATTACCCAGCGATGGTACTTATCGAATTAGTTAACCATATACCGCATACCCATGAACTTACCTTACTTTAAATATGCTTACTTAATCACATTTCGATATTGTATTCGTAGCCCCTGAGTAGAACTATTTCAATTTATTTGTACGCCCTCCAAGTCACACAATCCACAACCCAGAACCCAGAACCGCCCAGCAGCTAAAAAGTGCTCTAACTTAGTGTATTGCATACATATAAGTAATATGTATTAGAGGCCTGCATGAATCTGGAGATGTTTCGATCAGAGCCGCAGAAAATTTGTATTATTACATCGCACATACGAAGAAAGCGGGAATTCTTTCAATTTAAATAAAAAATAATGGGCAGAAATTAAATTTCTATATATAAAATGTTTAAAGCCGAACACTGGCACTCAATATTTAGAATTTGAACACCTAATTAATTTAAACCATTTCCTAAAGATTAATAACATTAAAATCCTTGCGAAAAAAGAAACCCATTTTAAAACTTTTCCCTAAAAAATGATCTTCTTATTCCAATTCTTATGAATAATTCGAATATTTCATCATTGAATAGGTTTAAATAATGCGAAAAAGATTCTAACAAAAAGAATAATTAAATTTATTAAATAATAATACTGAACTAAAAGCACTGTGGATTCGTGCAGGTCTCTTTTGATAAATCTCAATGGATAGGCCATATTTGTATGTATTTACCATAATATAGCTAACTAACACAGACACAAGCAGATCACACACTTACATCCACTCACACAATGAAGAATATGATACTGAGGTGACACAAATTTAGACGCATATTATTATATAACTTATATTGCAAAACAAAAGCGATAAGATGAAAACGTAAATTTTACTATACTCGTACATATAAATTATATGAATGTATGTAAATTATTATTATATTTGTATTTTATTGTATGTATTAGTTTTTGTTCCACGCTCTTTTGCTCTTTCATAAACAAAAAGAAAAAAAAAAACATAAAATCGAAATCCAAACGAAACTCGATAACAAAAACTAAAACAAAACAACAAAAAGCCGGCAAGCAATGGTATACAAAATAAAATAAAAATATGACAAAAGAAAATCCACAAAAAAATGAAATAAAATTGAATGAAAAATTTACCAAAAATCAAGTTGTTTTAATTCCGCAGTTATTTGGCAATCAAACGCATCGGTTGCAGTTACCATTATTTATTCACTACATATGTAAGTGTGGTTGGTTAAGTGGAATAAATATCATAAATATCTGACATCTACAGCATCAAAACATTACACATTTATAAATATCTGTATCATTTGTATCTTTATGAAATAGCTAAAAAAAAATGGTTCGTTAAGGTACACGGGAGTACGTATGTTGCAGTCCTCATAGGATTGGCATTTAAACATCATATCATATAATAAAATACTTCACACAGTATTTCGTATTAAAATCGTTTGGGGAACCTGTAAATTCTTGACACTTGATTCGCACAATTACTCTGGATATGGCATAAATAGTTTTCAGATTCATCAGGGATTCCTGTATGAAACCTAAATACTTGGAAGAGAAATCCTCTACGCAGGACTCACTAAATATACATGAATAACAATTTATATGGCTTATATAAACATTAAAGTTGCTATCGTAATTTTTTTTTTTGGATATACAATATTTATTTAAAGTAATATATATTTTTAATTGATAAAAAAAACTTGGCAAGCTTAGAAACTTGTTAATTTCGCGCAAGCACAAAATGTTCGAAATTAAACATTTGATTCTTCTAGAAAATATTTTGTGAACTTCGGTTAAAACAAATGTTTAATATTTGACAGTATTTTAAATTTTTTTTAGAACTCGGATATATTTTAAATTAACATACGACTAGATTTTTTTAAGTTTTGCAATTGTCTGACTAGAACTTTGTGGTCAGAACTGTGACTTATAATTTCGTTTTGTAATACATTTCCCATTTTATCATTCTTAAAGAAAATAATGCTTATAAGAACACTTTCGTTATTTTAAGAAGAATTAATGCTATTAAAGTCTCTAGCCATTAGAAAAAATTAAAATTTGTTTCAAAAGTCAAAGGAAAATTTGTTTTTAAAATATCAAACATAAAAGTTGATTTCACTTATAAATTAAATTAATTTGAATTAAAGTCAAAACGGTTAATATTGAAAACACCAATGAAATTGTAGTCACATTCTGTTGAAGTTAAAAAGTATTAAAAAAGTTTTAAATAATATTAGAACTATTTTTCCTCGTCTTTAAAAATAGTGTTGCCAATGAAAATATTTTAATTACTATTTTATATTAACGAAAATATATATTTGGCATTTCGAGTGTTTAAGCATTATCATTTTAGTGAAAATAATTTCTTTGGCTTTCCAAAAAAAAGGATTTCTAATGAAAATATATTTGCATTATGTTTTTTAGGCTAATGAAAATGCACGGAACTCTGTTCAAAATCTTTGCTCGGCGATGCGGTCAACATTTCGATCGACCCTCGCTGGGTACGCCTTAAACGCCCAGCTCGCGGCTGGGCGTGGTCGTGGCCATCTGCCCGGTATTACTCCCCGCGGGGGGTGCGGTCACCAGGCGTGGCAGCCACTTGTTCAGCAGCGTGCGGATGGCGAAGGTGACGTCATGGTTGGCGAAGCAGAACAGGAAGCTGACCACCAGTCCCTGCAGACTGACCAGGACGACGGAGAGCAGCTGGTAGAAGCGGTCCAGCCGGGTGCCCGCATCGGGGCGGTAGGGGAGCAGGAAGTGCTGCAGGCCGAACAGCGGCACCAGGATAATGGTCGCCCGCACCGCCTTCCGGATCGCCAGCGGGGCGGGCTGGGCGGACTGGGGGTGCAGCTTCCGCACGATCACCCGCAGCACGTTGATCAGGAAAACTGGTATAATTAGATAATGGGATAATGCGTTAGCTCTTCCACAACATTTCGTATATGCATATTATATTACTAAAGCTGGCCAGCAGCGACAGGGTTATGGGCACCGAGAAGATCCACAGGTAGAGACTGTCATTTATCCAGCAGCTGAAAGATGATCAACTAGTTAGTTGAATGCAGAGTTTAGGGGAACAAGTTTTTTTAAGCATGAAAAGCTATAGGTCTGAGTTATTATTTGGATTGGAGTAATTTTGCATTCATTTTGGAGTTCATTTTGGAGTTCATTTTGGAGTTCATTTTGGAGTTCATTTTGGAGATCATTTTGGAGTTCATTTTAAATTTATTTTTGAGTCAATTTTGTCTTTTTTGGTTTTTATTATTAAAGTGATTTTATTATTATTAACTATTTTTGAGAATATTTGTTAAAACTTTTGGAGCAATTGGATTACTTCTGAAGTAATATTTAAGGACTTTTGACGAAATACTTCTATAACTTAAAGAAGGCGCCAAGGAACGTAATATCCATAAGTCAAATTTATAATTCGAAAAGATCCCTCAAGAGTTTCCTTTACGGCACATTACTTTACCAATTTGACCTGATATGAAAGTGGCATTCATCGTAAAGCTATTTTTTTGATTTTTTCCTTTTAATAATCGGCATTAACATCTTTTCTTTGAACGTTGGTGAATTTGCTTATGCATTTTTATGGTCTAAGTTTTAAGTTTTCTAAACTTTCGACGAATTGTAGAAATGTGACTTAGAACTTGAACTTCGAAAGTCTATATCTTGAGCAATTGAATCTTGAGCAGTAATTTTAATGGAGTAGAGTTTCAACTTGAAAGTTAAATATTTACATTAATTAAATTTGAGTTAAGGTAATGCAAGTGCATTTTTTTGTCTAAAAATTTAAACTATGCCCAGTATGATCTTTAAATGAATTTAGAATTTGGAAAATGTTCTTATTAAATTATTTTTTGATATTTTCACAATTGTTGTTAACAACGTAAGTAAAGTTAGAAGAAAATGTAGACCTTGGATTATGCAAGCTAATGATGACTACGTAACGAAAGCAATCACGTTGAATTTATTACGATTTATGAATGCTTGTATAAGATTCTACTTATCGGACTGCATAGAGCTCATGTGGGAACCTTATTCACAGCCACTCACTGTTTATTATCCGGGCTGGTGAAGTGCCTGGCCAATCCGTAGACGACGGCAATGGGAATCGGCGATAGCCAGCTGATGACGATGAACCAGCGCATCACAATCGTGTCCTTGACAAAGACCTGGTGGCAAAAAAGTTAAACAAAAAGTCAGTTGCCGGACACTCCTCACGTCTCAACTTGACAGAGACGGAAATCATTTGGCCAAAGTTGCGATTTTCACTCAGACGAGTTGGTAGGGGAAAATCCAATGCCTGAGTTGCGGCTGCAGCAAATCACATCTGTCATGCACAGAACTCGGCCATAAGGAATGCTGACTTACAGGGCAGTTACGGGGATTTGCATGGCCATGTGCAAGGAGCAAAGGATAACTTGGAGCCGACTTCGACCGACTTACCACAACGAGCACCAGGTGCAGATGCAGACCCTCACAGAACATCCAGAAGTAGTTGACCAGCATGAAATAGTGCACCACCAGATGCAGGCCACTGCACCAGAGCTGGAATTTCGGGGTAAGGTGGTTAGGCAATTGGCAACACTCGGAAAAAATCAGCCATTAACAATAAAGTTATTTTTGGAAATTCATTAAATTATGTACATTGGTTTTAGAATAGGAACATTAGGCTGTCCAATAACAGCTAACTTTAAATATAAATAAATTGTATCTTATTTTTTGATTTTTTCTAATTTTGGAGAATTGTTGAAGTAACGTTGGTGAAATGTAAGCATAATGGTAAAACATTGTTGGAACATTGTTTGTTTTTAATTGATGTAAATTTTAAATACTGAAGGAGAATTGTTGAAATTCTGTGTGCAGTTAAAGAGCGGAAATATTGTTGGAGTATTGTTGAATACTTTTTAAGTTGTTGGAGTTCTGTTGGAGTAATACCAAAAACCTGTTGAAGCCCTGCTGTAGTACTGCTAGATTTCTTTTAGCATGTTTGTATCTTTATTTTGTTTATCAATCTTCGATTCAGTTGAAAATCGGTAACAATTTCAGTGTGATATGGTAATTATCCTGTTTGTCTTGCACTGTTCAGCTTACCGGATTCTCGGCTATGGTTTCGTTTCGCTCCACCACCAGGCGGTACCACAGAATCCAGGCCACGCAGGTGCAGGCCAGCGAGGCGAACAGGTGAACATGGATCCGAATGCGGGTGCAGCGCAGGGATCTGCGTATCGGTATCAGTATCAGTATCAGAGTCAGGATAAGAGATAAAAGGACCCCCGTACGGAGCGGGGACAAACACTTACTTGAAGCCCAAGAAGATAATAATCGATATGAGCAGGGCCAGCAGGGAAAGGGCGTAGCCCTTCACGTACAGCTCGTTGATGAACTGGCGAAACTGCAGTGGCAACTTTCTTGATTAATGCCCCAGTTCCCCCATGACGCCACCAGAGCACTTACCTCCAGGTCCTCGTAGTCCACGCAGTTGGTGTAATTGGACCAGGTCTGATTGCTCACCGGATGACGGAACCAGGAGCCGTTCTCCAGGCAGCTATGAATGCAAAAAGCTTACCATAATTGTGACTGAATATGTTTCGAGTGGGGAGGGGGGGGAGTTGTTCAGACAAAGTGCCTGACAATGCAAAAATATATTCAACATGGCCAAGACGCAACCGAGCCCAGCTGGTGTGTAAAGTGAGATGAAAATTGCCCCGCTCGAAAGTGCACTCGATGCGAGAAACACGAAGTATGGAAATTTTTTAAACACTTTATGAAATCACTGTTTGCTGATATTTTTTTATATCGTGGGAGTTGTGTAAAGCTATAAAATCGTTAGCAGTTTTTGAAATTTTGTTGAACCAAAGCTATAGGAGAGGTTAAGCAAGGTTGGTGTTTTGTTGAATCACTGTTAAAGTGTTGGTGTAGTTTCAAAGCAATGTGCATTAATTTTGGAGTAACATTAGTTTACATAACAAAAAAATGGAACGTTACTTTTAGTTGTATTGTAAATATTTCAACTTAAAATACAATATACAAAAGCAAAGAAGGTTTTTACCATTATTTCCATTGCATTAAAAAAGCAAATTATATTTTTTGGTGCATTTCCATAATTTGTTTTACAATCGATAGAATTCAGAGAACAATTTGGCATGTTATTATATGTGGACTTTTCCCAAAAATATGTGGCGAATATTTGCATATGGGTCAGAATATTTCTTTAGAAATTTGAGTTGATTACAATCGTTGTTACTTGGTTAAATAAATATTGCAATATTAAATTGTAAATAAGATGAAAAAAATCTGTATTTTCGCTTGGCAGACCATTTCGATTTGTGAAATGTTTATTCGAATTGGAACCATGCAGTGAATGAAAATCGATCCATTCCCCGAGGGCGTAATATTCAGTCATTTTGGGCATTTAACTCACGTCTTGTGGGCCAGAAACTTGCTGTTGAATCCCTCGACGAATTCGGGACAATATTGACTCAGCACGGTGCCGGCGGGAGTGCGGGGCCAGCAGAGATATCCGTCGAAGTTCAAAGGGCAGAAGAGCCGCTGCTGCGGCCGCTGATTTGTGGCCATCGTTGCACTGAGCACGGTGGCCATCAGCTCCTCCTTCTCCGCCAGCTCCTCGTCCACGTTCCGCATGTCAATGGCGCCCTCGTTCAGCACGGCGTCCTCCAGATATCGCGGCACCGGGCTGAAGCTCTCCGGTAAGTCCAAGTCATAGTCTATGCACAGCGAGAAATGCCAATATAATTGGGTTACTTATCATAACTTATAACTCATAACTTATACGAAATCACGTGGACACTTAAGTCTTTGAAATGCATAAATAATTGGTGCATAACAAATCAGTTCTCTAAATTTAATATTAATAAAACTGATTAGGCTATGATTAAAACAAATATATGCATCGTAATAGTAAAAACATTTTAATGATAATTACCACTCACTGACAAACGCAATCACAATCAAAATAAATGTAAAAACATGGTAACGGGTTGTATTTATAATGCTTACATTTTTTGAAATTTATAAATAATATTTAAAAAATTAGTTTAATATAAAAAAAAGTTATTATTAAAAATAATATATTAAATAATTACTTTATATCTAATAGTAAGTCAATTGCATTCCTTCAATTCCCCTATAAATCAATATATGTGAATAAAAAACAAACACATTTAGTAATGGCCCGGGGAAAATGATTTGTTATGCATTTAAAGTTTAAATTTGCTAAGAGAAAAGCCAATTCAACAACTTGTTTATATTCGTTTGTATATATTATATTTTAATACTACAAATAGAATCTGATGGGTCGTAATTAAATTTAAATTTCTTGTATGTGCCTGCTTTACTTTTTATTTGCTGTGTGCACATTGGCATGTGGAAAATCACGTATACGCCCTGTGGCCGCCACTCACCTGTTGCTGCCCCAAGTGAAACTGATGGGTCGTCCGCATCGTATGTGTCATTCTGGTATCGGTACACGCACTCGGCATACAAATGCTTTAAAAATATGCGCAGATTATCCTGCGTTTGGGATTGGGTTGCCGTTTCCACATTTTCCGGCACTGAATCTGAAGCGACTGTCCCCATCGTGGGTATGTCAAAGTGGGTAACTCTTGCCATGGTTTAATGCACTGGAAGAAATAGTATAAAGTCTGATATTAAATACAAATATTCGTTATAGTTCAGGGCAAGGTAGTATTAGAATGGAATTCTCACTATTACAAAAATCTTAAGTCATTTGTTTGCATTTTAGATAACAAATTCTGATCAAGCTTGAATATTATTTAAATTATGTAAAATAATAATGATAATGATAATAATAATAATAATAATAATGATAATAATAATAATAATAATGATAATAATAATAATAATGCTGAATTCTTTTGGTATTGAACAGACTTTTTGTTATTGCAATAACTATTCTTGGTTTTAAAAATTTGTTTGTCTTTTAATTTTTTCCCTAAAACTAGAGGCGATTAGCAAAGAAGCTATACATTTATTATGGAAACAATTTGTAGGGAATCGCAGCAAAATAAAATTTAAATTAATTTTAATTTAATTTAAAAATAAATAAGTTTATAATTATGTGAAAAATTGGTATTTATTTCTCTCAGTGTTTCGCGTGTAACGAAGGGAATTCGAGTCGCTTGTGGCTGCCCATTCGTGTGTGCATTTCTAATTTGGTTAGGCTTCAAAGAGTTGTCTGAGTTGTGTTGATATCTGTGTGCGGGGAAGCCAGTGTGCCGAAGGAAATATTATATATGATGTCCCTGGGTCGTCCTGTGACCCAACCATCAATATTGGAGGGCCAACCTCCACCCGAGTGCACACCTTGTCATATGTTGTAAATCAGTTTATTGTCTTATTAATGGTGGCGCTTAACTGTGGCACTGTTTTTGCAACCGAGATTGGAACGAACTTAATTGCATTTCGTCACAAAGACAAAGCAAATGCCACGGGGCAAAAACTCAAATGAAATGCACATCGATGGAGTGCTCGGAAAATGGGAAAGGCAGGGGTAAGGGGAAAGGGGAAAACACATGTGGCACGGGATGAGCTGCAAAGTTCTTGCCTAACTTTGTTATATTTTTAATCAAAACTCATTTCGCTTGATTGAGTTTCCACAGAGGCCTGCAGAAAAGCGCAAACACGATGGTAAGAGGATTTTCCCGGGGCCCAGACAAAACTTTAATTTGCGGCATTAATTTATTACACAGCTTGGGACAGTTTCCATGATGGAAATGGCGCTGGCTAAACATTCTTGCATGTTATTTATTTTTGCAAGTGTCTCGGCCAGGCAATTAGTCCCAGGTAGCAAGACAGGACGAAGGACGAAGGATGGGAGGACAGACTTTGTTGGCCATCAATTCAAATGCCGGACCCCGAGCACTAATGAGCATTAATTGCATTTACAGTCTCTATGAATTAAAACCATTGCAATATTCCAGCTTTATCATCGCCATTTGGGGCTTTCATGGAGGCAAAATATAATTGTAATTCAAATGGCATACAATTCGGATACATACATATTCCTCAGCTTATTCGGTGTGTCATGCCAATTGTCACAGGGCACTATTAAAAACAGTGAGTTTCACATCTACTATGTAGTGTAATTAATTACAACGGATGAGCCCAGACTGCCAAATGTATAAATTCTCCAGTTAATGTGCAGATGTTCTTACAAACTTGCTTGTAATTATGTTCTGCAAAAGTAGCAACAAAAGAAGAACATCTTTGATATCCTCGAATTCCCCAAAATGATTTTATTCGCTGTCAATCATGAAAGCTCTAAGAGAATCCAAGTATACATTTTATTTGTAATGAATGACAGTTCCTTGAAAAATTTAACAGTAGTAAAGAATATTTTGTATTTTAAGAGTCATTTCTACTTAGCTATTTGCCTTTTAAAAGTTTTACAAAAATAATATGCTTTAAAATAAGAAACAAAGGTCCGAACTATTAAATTTTAGAACTGTTTTGCTTTGACTTGGGAAATAAGAAACAAATAGGAAGGGAATGGCACTCCTTTGCTATTAAACAATAAAAATTATTAATTCCCCGCTGTGTTAAAAATAAAAAGTTTCATTTTGTTTTCTGTGAATTCTTTGATGTAATAAAATATCTAAAAAAAAAAAGAGAAAAAGCTTTCTGCGCAGCTAAGTCATTCTTTTTTGTCTTTTTATTGTAGCAGGATTCCTGGGCGCTAGTAACAAATAAATCCGTGTAACCAACTTCTTCCCTCAACTAAAGAAGACCTCCAAGTTCCAAGCATGTGCAGCATTTTTGCCAAATTGTTTTGTTCTACATAGTTGTGTAGATTTTGAGGAAGATGAGCAGAAGCCAAAGGAGTGAGGGTTCTTATTTTGAAGTATCCATAAAACACAAATAATTGGAAAACGTTTGCTTGCATAAATTAAGCAAGAAATTGAAATTTATTGTCAACAATGGATGGGAGAAAAAACATGAACTTTCGGCCGCAGGACCTCCCGCTGCATAAGATACAAATGGCCAATCAATTGTGGGTGGATTGGGGAAAAAACACTGCCGGAGGAATAATTATATGTACACATGCTGAATATTGATGATGAATTGTTTTGTCTAGTAGCCGGAAAAAAAGAAAGAAATTAATAGACGGGGAGAGGGAAAAGCCGTCAGTGCGGTTAATGATGCTGGTGGCATTTTCAGGCCGGAAACGGAAATGCCACCAACACACACACACACACACACATACACACCCACGCTAACTGGAAGTAAACATGCGAAATAATAACACATTATTCGGCCATTCTTGTCGGATCAATTATAATAACAAATTACTTCATCCGCAGCGTCTGGGTCACCAAATGCAATTACCCACGCCGGACTCGTGGCCAGTCCTCCAAAATCCCCCTGATGGAACGATGGGGCATAAAAGTTGCCAACCTTGCGAATTAATGCACTCATTTCCCGCCCAATCACTGCTCTATTTTCCCTGTGTAGCGGAAAAACTTTTCACATAAAACAGGCACAATTAGGCGCAGGCCAGAAATCGAATTATTTATTTGTACGCTGTTCGCAAAATATATAATTCAATTGTTTACTTAATTAAAGTAGCCAAAAATTAAGTCTCGTGCAGTGAGTTAATTATGCGAAATAAATTTTTGAAATATTTGCACCCGATATTCACATAATTATTGTCGAATATTAATCGAAGAGCAGGTGCCAAAAGATCACTTACTTGGGGCCACCAGCCAATTTAGTTCATTGAATTGTTTGAAGCTATGGGCTGCCATTCATTGAACATTTAAACAATTGATTGTGTTTCAGTTCACCGCTCATCACGTACAAAAACAAGGCGCACAAAAACATTCAAAAACACATGGAAAAAGTACGCGTTCTGTTATCGGAGGTCGAAAGATGCCGCTCCACTCCGCTTTTTGCAACGCTCTGCTCTGCGTTCCGCTGGCAAGTGGCACGGCATCTGGCGGAAATCGGCTGCCGAGGCTAGTCGCATTTTCCCCATTTTCCCGCCCATTTTCACCCACCGTTCACTGAAAAAAAATTACTAAAATGTTGCTCTTAGTATGGGAAATTTGTTATCTCACATTGATAATCTATATTTTAACATTGTATTTATATTTTGCATTGTTTATATATTAAAACGATATGCAAATGTTCTCTACAGGTAAATTAAAGACATCAAAATATTTTTATTACATTTTTATATATCCGTGCAGATATAACAAAAATGTAAAGTTTCATCTGTATATATCTGCAAGCATATAATAAATAAATTAGTAAATTTATTATATCAAAATTAAAATATATTCAACAAAGGATGCCCACAAGTATTATTGATTAGTTTCAACAAACATTTTTCTGCCCTAAATTATTCTAAAAACTTTTGTCATCACATATCCATGAAAGTAACTGAAATAGCTCTCAAAAAAACTTTATGAAATAATAACTAAAATATCCAAATATATAAATTTACTATGAATTGATATATATTTCCTTGCTCAGTGTAAAAACACTGCTTTGCCGAGCACTGCTTGCCAGCAACAAGTTGTTGCTGCACTGCCTTGTGTGCTCAGCAAATTGGTTGTCGTGGGCGTATATAACAGTTACCCGGGTGGGCGTGGTCCACACAGCTGGGACCCTCAAATTGCTAAAGATTTCATATTCAGCTGAAGGAATTTATTTAACCCAACTGACACGTTTTCTATGTGTTTATAAACAAACAAGTATTGTGGCTACAATTAATTTCGTTTTTTAGGGATGTAGCAAGGACATTATATCACAAAATTGTAGTTTCTCAATAGATATTGCTTAGAATTTATTAACCTTTTTAGCCAAAACTAGTCAAGTCTTTAGTGATTCCTTAATGGATGTGTATCAATTTATAACTTTAATTATTGTACCATTTTCAGCAAGGACGCAGATGGGTCGCTTCAGAAAACAAAGGGTTAAGCCCCCTTAAATACACAGAAACTGGTGTGTGTTTCACATTGAAACAGTAGTAGTTAGAAACATTTGATGGGATTGCGTGGCAACTTTTTTGTTATTTCAGAGTAACCTTTAAGATTCAGCTTTAGTGAATATTTCGCTTCACTTTACTTCAGTTCTCCATGCATGTAAACTTTCTCCTCGAACAACTTCCATAAAATTTATTCCTGAATTTCTTATGCCCTGCATAGTGGGGAAGTATAAATATTTTATGCGGTTCTTTGCCGTTCTTCTGACGAAATTGCCATCGACTTTGAATTGATTAAAAATTCTTCAGAACGTGTACGAGAAATTGCTATAAAATGTATTTTCCAATTAGCACTCTGTGTGTGGTGTAAAAATTCTGGAGTTTTACGCACAAGCCACATTGTTTAGCTCGGAAAAAAACTCATGGTCATGAGGGATAAATGAAAGGAAACTGGTTTCACAGCATAATATTCATTTTCTCCATATGTACGCATGTCCTTCTAAATTTAATTACTATTTACTCTTATGGTCAGAAAAAGGCACAAGAATAGGGGAAAGGTTGAAGGGCTAACACTTTAAATTGTTGGTTTACTATAAAGTAAATCTTGTTTACTTGGATTGCAGTTAAAGTCTCTTAACCGTAATTAACTTAGCTTCTTTATGGAGCATGTTTGGATAATTAAATTCAATTAAGTTAGCTTTAGTTAGTCTGTAACTATTTATAGCCTTTAACTTGGTAGCCGGTCAATCTAATTTAACAAATAGCTGTGAAAATGAAATAAAGGTTTACGTTTTAAAGGATTATAACACTTTTTTTTTGCACGCGCGGTAAGCTTTTAAGCTGGGAAAATTAATTACATTTTGCTGCCCAAAACCTACCTATGAGAAAAAGGACCAAAATGTTTGTAAAGTTGTTTGAAAAAATCAAAAAAAATGTAATAAGAAATAATTATCAAATAATTATTGTCCATTAATTATTATTTGTGTTGCATCATTATATTTTAAATAAAGTTAAAGTTACATACAAATTCTATCAAATTTGTTGTAATCATAAGTTTTTAACCGAAAATAGAATGTTAGAACAGTTTTAAGACTTAGCAGTATTTTAAGGGGGTATTCTAGTCTAGAAATTTGAAAAAATCAAACAATTTTAACTTTTTAACTTTCTCTACTTTTTTCTATAACAATACCCTTATTTGCAGTATACTACACTAATCGTTTTGGGGGTCATTGTATGGAGCTGGGATAGCTGATTAAGATAATGTAAGTTATTTATAAGTAAGTTATAATTCGAGCTTCTAGACTAGAAGATCCCCTTAAAAGAAATGCAACAGTGCTTCTTTGGTCAGTGATTCAGCAGAGTTCTTGTACATACAATTATCGGGAGTCGCAGGTAAAATCTCTCCACAATTATCGCTCGCAGTCGGTTTCTATCAAGTTTAAGCCAAGTTAACAACAATCTGGCGCCAGTTGAGAGAGTTTTAGGTGCTAGTTCGAGAGTTTAAGCCGCGGCGAAGACAACGTTTTTTTTGTTAGGTAATGCATTATTAGCACCGCTCTCCGGTCGCACGTTCCGGGAAGATAAAGACCGGAGACGGGAGACGGGGTTTGAAAGTGAAGCCAAAGAGTGATGTAAAGACCGCAATCACCTGCACGTTCGCCGACGAGTCGCTGACCCATAAAAGCGGGGATCTCCGTGGCCAGAGTCATCAGTTCCATCGGCAACATGTTCCACTCCAAGTCGCAGTCCAAGTCCAAGTCCCAGTTCTGTCTAGTCCTGACATTCGTCCTGGCTTTTTCGGGGGCCAAGGGCGACTACGATTGGTACGGCGACTATTCGGGCTCTGAGCTGGACTACATCTTCGCGGATGCCAACTACGATGCCGTGTGCCCCCCGGGCGGCAATCCCGTTTGTGCCACCGATGGCTACACTTACCACCCATTTGGCAGCAAGTGCCGCCTGGATTCGCACAACCTCAAGCAACTGTTCGCTGGCAGGAAGGGTAAGTTCTTAGGCAATTCTTAACGATCCCTTATGCTTAAACCAAATTAAATTAACTTTTTTATATTACTCATTTATTTATTGATTTCTCTTAAAGAAAAACACCCTTCTACTCTTTTTTTTGCTATGTTTTCAAGGAGTTTATCATAGAGTTTGTAAATAATTCTTATCCTTTTTTAATGATTCAATGTTTTTTAAATATATTTAAAGAAAAAGTTAGAAAGCAAATTCAATTAAAATGTATATGAATTTAACATAATTTTTTTCTTTATTTTCCAGAACTAACCCATACTGATCTGTCCTACTGCCCCGCGTATCCCGCCCCCTCGTATGTGCCTGCTGAGGATTACAGCCCGAGGAGTTCGCCCGTGCAGAGTTATGCCCCGGTGCAGTATGCCTCGTCCTCTGGCCAGAACTCCTATGCCTACGCCGCTGCCAGTGGTCCTTATGGCGCCAAGGCTTCGGCCGAGGCTCCGGGTCCGTATCCTGTGGCTCCACCCTCCTACTCCGTCTCGTATCCCTCCGCTCCCGCTGCCTATGCCCCGCCCCCGGCCAGGTATCCTGCTCCGCCTGCTAAGTATCCTGCCCCACCCTCATCCTATCCCGCTTATTCCAAGGCTGCCTATAGGCCCGCCTATGCCGCCGTTTATAGCTATGCCAGCACCACCAAGGCGCCGTCCAGTGGATCGACCTCGGCCGCGGCAACCACCACGAAGGCCACTAGATATCCAGGATACCCCACCGCATACCCAACCACCACGGTGGCCACCACAGTGGCAACTACTAAGGCAGCAACCACAGTAGCCACCACCAAGGCAGCAACCACATTGGCAACCACCAAGGCAGCAACCACATTGGCAACAACCACAGTGGCAACTACCAAAGCAGCAACAACACTGGCAACCACCAAAGCAGCAACAACATTGGCAACCACCAAAGCAGCAACAACACTGGCAACCACCAAGGCAGCAGCAACTACAGTGGCAACAACGAAGGCAACTACTAAGGCAGCATCCACTGCAGCACCAACTGCAGCACCAACTGCTGCTGCAACCACTGCAGCACCAACTGCTGCACCCACTGCTGCACCCACTGCGGCACCAACTGCTGCAGCAACCACAGCTGCAACCACTGCTGCTCCTTCCGTAAGTAGAAATCATAGCCCCCAATTCAATCTGCAAACTATATAATCACTATTCCTTCCACTTTAGGTCGGATAAAGTAGAGATGGGCACCACCACCCCCCGAACGACTTGGAAAACCACCGGAAAACCATCGGAAAACCACCGGACAACCACTTAAAGGCATCACCAATCGAAATCATAATTTAAACCACAGCAATATGTAGAGTGTTCCATTTAGCCCCAATAAAGCAATCAGTACAGCACATAAACAAGTTGAGTCGATCGCATCTGGCCCTTTATTTTTGGGTACACTGAGAAAAAAGTACCCTCAATTTGTGGTATTTTTTGAAGCAATAAATAGTTTTCACTTTGTGAAATCCCTATATATAATTTAATAACATTTAAGTATGTTTTAAATAGCTGAACGATATTTATGAAGCATAATTCAAAATTAATATCGAAAATAAAGTCATTATTTTCGTGATGAATCTTATTAAACGAATATCTCGAAAATGTATATCAATTTATTGTTGATAAAATAATTAAGGTAATTTTTTTGGCTCTGAAATTGCTATGGTTTTTTTTTAAAAAAATAAGATAAAACTGGGAAAAATCTTAAAATCATTTGTTGAGCATATAAAAATGTTTTATAAAAATAAATAAAAATCTGTAGTAAAACTGAAATAGGTTGAGAATCATATACACCTATTTGTTGTTTTGTTTCAATATTTATTAATATTTTTATTCATTTTATTATGTGTTGAATGTTTGTCTTATGGTACGTGAAAAACAAAACCTATTATGGCATAATATTTATTCCAAGAATAATAAAGTAATGTTGTTAGATTTTTTCATGTGGTGTTGAGGTGGTTGGGTGGTATGGGTGGTGTGGTGTGGAGTGGGTGGTGTGGGTGGCACTTATCAGCGCCTCTCGCCCCACACACGCGAACAGGTGTTTGGCATTGTTTGCTCGTTGAATTATTTTCGCTACGGCTTAATAGATTTTTTTAAGCAGTTTTCCGCTTTTGTGCCCGCCCTTATCTTTTGACAATAAAACGGCATTAAAAGTGGGTCGGAATTCGGAGGCGGAAGGGTCGAAACAATGGACCACAATGGCTGCGTCGTGGAGAGGGGGGGGCTCCTATTTCTGGCGGGAAAGCGGAAACGGAAATTAACAAATGCCCCAGGCAGCACTTGGCATGCCAAACAACAAGGACAAACCACCCGGCTAAAATAGCCATTTATATTCAAATTGTCTTAACTTGGCTCAGATTTTTGAACCCAAGAGCTAACTTTTTTTTTTTGTTGACAGCATATATTTTTGTTGTATTTTATTTTTTTCCCCTTTGGGTGCGACCAAAAGTTTAATGGGGGAAATCTGTTTAATTAAATGATAAACATTTAATTTGGGGCGCCAACGTTGCTAACACTTTGTTTATTATTATAGAAGTTAAAAGATTTAAGATAAGTGTTCGTACATTAAAGAATGACATTTGTTTTTTGTTATATATATTTATGCTGTTAAAAAGTGCTTAAGTTTTGGTAACTTCAAATTGTTTTTAAATATAAGTTTTTTCTTATTTTTAAGGTTTCTCAAATCAATATAGCTGCTTAAATTCTTTAATGGGTATTCGATTTTACTTTTTATTAGCAAATGTAGAGAATGTAAAAAAGGTAAAAGCAGACTCACACGCTTTTTATTGCTGTTAAAAAACTGTAATCAAAACTAGACTAAAATTTAGTACAGCGATATAAAAAAAGAGAAAGACTTCTTTACTGATTATTAATTATTATTTATCGCATATAGTGTAGGTAAACTTCTCTCAGGTCAGGTTTTTAGGTGAGCAGCGTTTTTACAGGTGTTTCTCTGTTAAGCGATAAACGGGTAGATTTATCAATTTAACATAAATAATTTTCTTGCAGCTTTTGCCATCTATTTAAAACTGGCGTCTTGCGAAATGATAATTTTTCCCCCTCAATTCATGCAAAAACCTTTCACAACTTGCGCATATTTTGTGTAAAATAATTTGTGAAATTTTATTTATTTGATTTGATTTACCCAGCCAGCAATGTTGTTCTTTTTTCCCCCGGCAGCTTGTGTTTTCGCTTTGCTCATTAAAAGTTTCCACCGTGAATAGAGAGAGTGCGAAAAGTGCTGAACAGGCAAAAAGATCCGGCACAATTGAATGAACTCTTTTTTGGTTTTTTTGGTTTTTTTTTTTTAAACTGGCGCCGTTCCCTTAGCCCCGGTAAATTGAAAACGCTGAAGTGAAACTTGAATGGCAGCTGCCCCAAAAGTCCGCAGAACTCCAACAACAGGCCCAACTTTTGATAGCCGATAGCAGATGGCAGTCCAGCATCCTAAGCCAATTATTGACATTCTCTGGTAGCTCGCATAAATCTAAATTTGCACAAAGCCCACGAAGGAAAATAAGCAAAAACTCGAGAAGGGGATTAAGTTGGAGGCGCTGTGGATTTAAATACTGCGTACTCCTCGAGTTGGTGAGTCCATTGGCAATGTGTTTTACTAATAGTATTACCTCTAATCGAGTTAAAAAAATTATTAACATTAATATATACATTGATATATTGCGGATTTTAAAGCATATATAAATGCAACAACAAAATTTATTTTAAATAGATATTAGATTATTATTCTTGTGTATTTGATTTTAATACTTACAAAATTGTATATATATATTTTATGTTTTATATCAAGATTTAACCATTAAGTCCGTAACCTATTATATATATTTTAAATTCAAAGATGCTGTATTTCTTAACTCTTTTTTTATATTTTTTATTGACCTTAATTGTTAAAATCTGTTGTGAGTCTAAAACCAAAGATTAAAATTAATGTATCGCAATGTTCCAATCTTCAAGGGTATACTTTCTTCTGAAAACATTTGCATATTTATTAAAATGCACACAATGAAGTTAAGGTAAAGTACAAATTTCACAAATTGAAATTCGTGTGCAGCAGAAGCGAGTACAAAGTAGCTGACAGTCGCGTCACAACCATAAATCAGAGCTCTCGTTTTTTAATAAATTTGAAGTGGGACAAGATTTGTGGTGGCTTAGTCGCGGGCAAATATTTTATTTGGATGCCGTGCTGCCACGCCCACACGGCATAAATCAAATATCGCTCCTTTTGATTTTCATCTTTTTTTTTTTTTTACAAATATTTTTTCTTTTTTGGCCCCTCTGCTCGAATTGATATTTATGGCCGTGAAATCGGCTTATAACATTGCCCATTACAAAAACCCCTTCCCATCCCATCGCACACATATATTGCCTATATATACAACGCTTAGCCAGCGGGTTGTTTACAATTCAACCGAAAAACAGCCACGAAATCAGATCGCACTTAACGGACGAGAACAATGTGTTGGTTATTTTTATTGGATTTAATTGCGCTGAGTACCTGAACTTGGCCGCGAAATCTGGGGGATAAGGTCTTTGCCGGAAGCCAATTGCAGGGGAAATCCAATTTGCCCGAGAGTAATCAAATATTGAATGATATACGAACGTTAATTTTTAGAGGGGGAAATTTGGATTCCATCAGTCCGGAATCAACACACTTCCAATTTATGTTAAATTTATGGCGAAATCTCGGCCAGCTTTTCCACTTAACTGACAGCTCGCATCCAATATTCATAGATATCAATTAATTATCCACCTGACTATTAATCTGAATTAATCCTTAATCACTTGTTTTTATAAATAGCTTTTCCACAGGTATACATTTTTAATGCTCACACATGGAATATTTATACAGTTGGGGTATTTTATAACTTAAACCGCTATCTGTTTAAAAAAGCTGGCTAATTAATTAATTATCAGTAATGATAATAGGGTATTTTAAATTTTATTCAAACTCTCTTGAGTTTTTTTTCCTCCAGCAGACATCCGTCAATCAATTTTGATTAATTTAAACTTTTCATTTGAGTATTCTTAGATCACAACACAAAGTGAATGAAAAAAGATAAAAAGAGGAATAACAATACCAATCAGTTGTTTAATTTTTCGAAGGCTTGCGGTGGCCTTCAGTGCTCGGTAATGTAGTATTAAGTTTAACATTGTATACTAAGCTTAATTTTTTAAAATAAAAATAAATAAATAATTTTTGGATAACTTTTGCTTGTTTTAATTAAATGAGTTGAGGTTGAGTTTCATGAGATTGAACTTTTTTTATAGGAATAAAACAAATGCAGAACAATTTTAAGCCATTTTCAGTAAATAAAAAAATTGGTAAGAGGTAATTAGAATAAAACATTATTACTGCTTTACAAATGAATAGTTTAAGAGAATAGTTCTTACAGAGTATTTTTCTTGTGGTGATAATATGCAGTGACATTAACATGTTATTAAAAAGGACAATTTATAAAGTGACAAAACATTTTGTATCATATTTTTATTTCGGCTGTACCTGGTTGCCAACCGATTGTTTATTCAGCCCAATGAACGCTGGTCATTGATAGCCACGCCGCATTAAAATATTTAAATGTCCAAGGCTAATGGACGAAAAAAGTACGGGAAGTAGCGCCATTGAACATGTTTGCAAAATTAATCAAAAGCGCCACTGACAGCTCAGGGAGCGTCGCAAGGAAAATAAATTAAAAATACATAAAGCGCTCAATTACGAAATTTGGTACATTTTATTTGCAAGCAAGACGAGGCCAAAAGACTGGACTGGGTGTAAAAAAAAAAAAACAGCGGGAAAACCCGGCAGCAATACAAGCAGAGGAAAAAGCTGTGTCAGTACCAATGAAAATGGAATCCCATTTCCAAGTTGTTTTCCGCCTACTGCCCATTTCCTTCTTTGTTCTTCGTGTTTTTAGCTCCGCTTTTTTTTTATATTTCTGGTTTCGGTTGTATACTGTTCCGGGGGCAATATAAAAATTTAATATGCGCCCAAAAGTCGACTGCAATAAAATGCTTAACAGAGTGTAGTGGCGCAAGCAACTTCAATGTGGAAACATAAACCATGATCCAAGACTAGAGCACGGTCCCACCTCCCCTCCACCAAATTATGTTGTAAAAGTGGCGAAAAACAAGCAAATGGCGACACTTGAGATCCCATTTCCCGGACATTTCCCCCCGGCAGACAAACAGACGGACAGACAAACGGACGAGCAGACAGTCGCCTCATTAGTCGAGCGGTCAGCGGGCCACTTTAAGAGTGGGTCGAAAAAAAGTCCAAAAACCCAGAGGGTTTCCGCCATAGAGTGTGTGAGTTACAGGGGTTCCATCTGAAATGGACTAGCCCAGAACAAAACATATGCATACATGTTTCGGGGGTCGTCTTGGGCTCAAATCAGTCATAACTTACTTCCAGGCTTATCGAATGACAGCCCCAAGTGGAATTCGGAAGAGGGCAATCTTTGTGTGGCATAAAAACAATTTCCAAGGCAGTTAGATGTACCAAGCCCACATAAAAAGCTTTAATTCGAATCATTTTATTATGAAACGAAGAAACGGGAACAACATTGCTCCTTTTATGTGTATATACCATTTTCAGATAATAATATTGACGAAATTGGCGATATCAAGGCACGACATAATTTAATCCAATAATTTTTAGAGGTTATGAAAGTCCAATTGTGGGTCACCTTTTTCAAGTCATGGGAAACATGGAAAAAAATGACATGAAAATGGGTCCAAAATTTGATCATCGTTAAAATGAAAATTTTGAATGCAGTTTTTTAGAGAATCAAACCACAAGTCTTAAAAGGTATGCCACTTTGAAATCGGATTAAATTTGGTAAAGTTATGGACTCTGGAAGTCCAATTGTGGGTCACCTTTTGACAAGTCATGGGAAACATGGAAAAAAATGACATGAAAATGGGTCCAAAATTTGATCATCGTTAAAATGAAAATTTTGAATGCAGTTTTTTAGAGAATCAAACCACAAGTCTTAAAAGGTATGCCACTTTGAAATCGGATTAAATTTGGAAAAGTTATGGACTCTGGAAGACCAGTTGTGGGTCACCTTTTAACAAGTCATGGAAAACATGGAAAAAAATGACATGAAAATGGGTCCAAAATTTGATCATCGTTAAAATGAAAATTTTTAATGCAGTTTTTTAGAGAATCAAAGCACAAGTCTTAAAAGGTATGCCACTTTAAAATCAAATAAAATTTGGAAAAGTTATGGACTCTGGATGTCCAGTTGTGGGTCACCTTCTTACAAGTCATGGGAAACATGGAAAAAAATGACATGAAAATGGGTCCAAAATTTGATCATCGTTAAAATGAAAATTTTGAATGCAGTTTTTTAGAGAATCAAGCCACAAGTCTTAACAGGTATGCCACTTTGAAATCGGATTAAATTTGGTAAAGTTATGGACTCTGGAAGTCCAGTTGTGGGTCACCTTTTTACAAGTCATGGGAAACATGGAAAAAAATGACATGAAAATGGGTCCAAAATTTGATCATCGTTAAAATGAAAATTTTGAATGCAGTTTTTTAGAGAATCAAGCCACAAGTCTTAACAGGTATGCCACTTTGAAATCGGATTAAATTTGGTAAAGTTATGGACTCTGGAAGTCCAGTTGTGGGTCACCTTTTTACAAGTCATGGGAAACATGGAAAAAAATGACATGAAAATGGGTCCAAAATTTGATCATCGTTAAAATGAAAATTTTGAATGCAGTTTTTTAGAGAATCAAGCCACGAGTCTTAAGAGGTATACCACAGTCAGAAAAGTATTTGAAATTATTAAACATATGTAAGTACTTAAGATTTCTTAATCCAGGTGTTTTATTAAAAGATAAATTTTGTTATATATATATTTTAATAATAATTTTAATAAACATTCATTCAAGTTTCTAAAGAAAGGCTACGTACAGGTATAAAAATGTTTGCCCCTGACTTTTTTTTTAATTAACCATTGACATTTTCCAAAATTGGCAGGGCTAACCCCTTTTTGATTGGCCTGTCGATTTCGGTGTGAAACATTAGTTGATGGAAACATCAGTTTACATTTGGGCGGTCCATGTCGACACTTGTAAGTCCTTTAATGAAGAACCTGTCATCAATGTATTTGCGGTCGACCGCGACTGCCTTTGCCCCGGGATGTCAGCTGTCATGTGCACAAGTGCCCCCATTTGGCCCCCATTTGGTGCCCTTTGACCCCTTCGCAGCCGCTGCAAATGTTTGTATGGCCGTGTAAACATGGCCAGCAACTAATGAGCCCTCGTTTAGCAGATGAAGGTATTGCTGCCGACGACGATTTTTCGCCGGTCGAAATTTGAAAGAAACAGCTGAGGTAATAAAAAATATTAAGGTGGGAGTATGCCACAAGACTGGTGGAATTTCATTTCTGTTTTCAAAGAAATTAAAATTAAAATTAAAAGTAAGCTAAGAGCAGTATGAATGTTACTAACCAACAGAATAAGAAGTAACCAGACCTCAATAAAGCCAAACAAAATTGGTTTTTCATAAGTATTCAAGCTTAAAAACTTAAAATTGATAGCGTTTAATTAATGAACACAATTTTTTAGTATTCAATTTAAAGTGTTCGCCAAAGAGCACGATTTATATATGTATGTATTAAAAAAAATTACCTATAAAAATATATAAAATATAAATAAAATACATAAATGTAGCTTATGTGGTTGAAAAAAATATGTGTTACAATTTTTGAATTCCTAAAAATATTACCAAAACTATATTTAAAATTAAAAGACAAACATATATTGTCGCACTTAATAATGCTATTGGATGCCTAAACCACAAAATGGAATGCTTTCTTGTTGACAATAATAGACATGTCGAATTCGGAACTATTCAGCCAGACATTTGCCGGAAAGCACGCTCCAAATGTGTATTGAAAATAGGGTGGTGTAGTGGGGAACCCGTCGAAGCACATAAATCAACTGACAGCGCCTCGTGCATAACTTATTGCACACTTTGGGGCAGCTCTGTTCTGCAATTGTTCCGGTACACAATCGCCAGTCATTGCGGGAATTTGTATTGGGTCTTAGCCTTAAGTCGGCTGTAACATATACATATGCGACGAGGTTGCGCAGGATGTGCTGTTGCCACTGCTAATTGAATCAGAAGCCGCAGCGTGAAATCAACTACAAACGGTCCACGCGGCGGATACGCAATGCGAAATGGAAAAGGGACTTTTTTAAAGCCCGAAGCAAAGGCAAAAGGATTGCTGACCAGATTGATAAATCCCCCCCCGGCAAAGTGCCTTTGACATAAAAAACGGAGCATACATTTATGCGATGCCTGAATAAATCATCCGTTTGCAGTGACGTTTTTTTTTTTTATTTTATTCTTTCCCAAAATAAATACGCTCCTAATGCGTGGTGTGTGGGCTTGATTTAGATTTTCAGGCATGACAGCCGGTCTTTTTTTCCGGAACCCACTGCGTATGGGCAATATGTGTCGCGCGTTAAATAAACAAAATTCACACAGCGAAAGCCTCAGGAATTAGGAAAACTTAGCGAGTGACGCGTGCAAGTAAATGTAATTTAATGTACTCTGTTTACCTCGACGGCGGGGTGCCTCTCGCACTTTTGGGATCGAAGTTCGCGGCCTTTATTTGGCGCCTCGATTGCCGAATACCAAATGATCAAAATGCCGAAATGAGCGCCAAAAAATCCACAGCACTCGAAAAACAAAATAGAAACAGAGGGCAAATTCGGGGAACCGCGACCGTTGTGTTCGCCACAGCAACCGGTTGCCAAGTGAGTACGAAAATTCAAAACGAATCCAAAGGAACCGACGTGCAGGATTCAAATGGGCAAGCAGTTCTTCCCGACTGCTTGTCGAAAACTGTTATACTGTGCTTGGATATATTTCATTAAAAACGTATTAAAACCTTTTCCATACTCTAATGATCTATTTAACTAGACACAAATCGAATTAAAAATATTTAAACATGTGAGGAGTAAATAAAAAAAGAAACTTATTAAACCATTTATCACTTTTCACGAAATTACTCACTTTTGTCCTTATTAGAAAAATGGAATAAAAAATGGTGACTAAGATACAATACTCCTGCCCATTTTATTTTAAGATCTATTTTTAATAAAACTATAATTTAAAATTTTACAATCAACAATTTGAATCAACTAATTTTCAACAAAAATGGTATGCATTTTGAAGACTTTGTCAGTTAGTTAGCTAAAAAACGTTACATTTGAAATAACAAGTTATGAGGTTAAGACATTAAGCTTGGCTTAAAATACGAACATTTTCGACAGTAAAATCATTTCAAGTTTTCAACCAAGTTTTTGAACCAAGAACGTTAGCTTTTCACTGCTTAATGCAGCTTTTGAAGCAGTGTCACAAGCACAAGCGTCACAAGCAGTTATTGGTGTTCATGTTAAGCAGTCAATTGAACTTCAGATTGCGTGGTTTTAGTTTTTACCTTTTATTCTTACGAGAATATGGGGACCTAATATCTGAGCCACGGCCAGGCAACCGAGACGAGACCAGAGAAAGAGAATCTGAGTAGGGGCTGCTGGATTTGTTTTTTTCATTTTTATTTTCTTTTTTTTTTGTGGAGTTCTGGCGGCAATTACAATGGAAACGGTGTTCTGGCACGTATAATTCCGATAGATAGACACCGTCTGTAGCTATTGTTGTTTCTCCAGAGTTTTACCTTAGCAAAGAACAAGTCGGTCGTATAAATAGTTGTCTAAGGGAAAGGTGAAGACATCAGTTACACGACAACCTTCAAAATGTGGAGAGTGTCTGCTTGTATTGTCCTACTGTCAACCTTGAGCTTTTCCCAGGGTCATCGGGAGGATTACTCGGGATTCTTAAGTGCCCACAGGACCAGGGATTTTACGAAACACAACAATCGACCGTGTGGCCCTCGAGTGTGCGGCAAAAGTGGCCTTTGCTATCGGAGTTTTGAAAGCATTTGCGAGCTCAACGATCATAACATTAAGATGATATTCAGTAGCCAAGACGGTAAGATTATTAAGATTATTTTTAGTAGGGATTAGTTTTTTTTTTATAAAATTGGTTTGTAATGATATTTATCTTCATGTATATTTATTTTTCCAGAATTCTATCTTACGGACCTTATTTATTGCCAAGAGCCGCCGCCGCCGCCAAAGATTATAAATGTGGGCTACTATTACAATACTAATCACCGGAGTTTGCTGTTCGGCCAATCGCCACCGTCAACCTATTCATCGCCTATTCATAGGCCCAGTATTTCCTCGAATGCGGAGTATATAAGACAGTACGAAGCAGTTCCGCCACCAGATACTTATGGTCCAGTTCTTGATTATATGCTACCATATCCGGTATGGTCTTTTAAGCGACCTCAAACACCACCGAGAAGGCCTCCAGTGAGCCGAAGGCCACCTTATTGGTACTATCCGACCAGGCGTCCCGAATCAACAAAGCGGCCATGTTATGAAACAACAACAGCCAGTGCAAAGCCCCATACAACAACAAAAGCCACTGCATATTCAACAACCACCACAACAACAACTCCATCTACAACGACGACAACAACTGAACTATCAACAACTACAAAAGGTGTTTCTACGACAACAACAAGTACTGAACCTTCTACATCAACAACCACAGAAAGAACAACGACAACAATTGAACCAGAAACAGAAACAACCACTGAATTAACAACGAAAAAATCGACAGAACCAACAACAATAACCACTAATTCAACAACAGAGATAACAACCACGGAATCAACAACAACAGAAACCACAGTACCAACATCAAAATCCACCGAACCGACAACAACAGAAACCACAGTACCAAATACAACAGAAACGACAGAGTCAACAACAACAACCACTGAATCTACAACAGCTGAGCCAACAACAACAGCCACTGAATCAACAACAATCACAAATCCGACATCGACAAATGCCATAGAATCTTCCACAACAACAACCACTGAAGTTTCTACAACGACGACAGCAGATCCTTTGACTACAACAACCGCTAAAGTGTCTACAACGACAACAGATCCTTCTACGACAACAACCACCACAGATTCTTCTACCACAGACTCTTTCACCACTGATTCTCCCACAACAACATCCAGCTCATCAGATTCTACAACCAAAAATTCTTCTACAGATTCTCCCACAACAACATCGACCACAGATTCTTCCACAACAACATCGACCACAGTTTCTTCCACATCAACATCGACCACAGATTCTTTCACGACAACATCGACCACAGACTCTTCCACATCATCATCGACCACAGACTCTTCCACATCATCATCGACCACAGATTCTTCCACGACAACATCGACCACAGATTCTTCCACAACAACATCGACCACAGATTCTTCCACAACAACATCGACCACAGATTCTTCCACAACAACATCGACCACAGATTCTTCCTCAGATTCAACATCCACCACACCAGCATCGAGTACAGATTCTTCCACAACAACAGCTATCACAGATCCTTCCACAACGACAACAACAACAGATGCCACGACATCAAAAACGACGGATGCCTCTACGACAACAACCACTGAAGCTTCCAAAACAACTACTGCCGCGGCTGTAAGTTGAAAAATTAAACTTTATTACCATGATGAAAAAATAATACATATTACTTATTCCCTTTGACAGTTTAAACCCTTGTCTATTGAGATCAGAAATGCTGATGGTCGGATACTAGACTTCGATTTGGCAGACGTGGCCGTGGATCCAGACACAGGAGATCCAAGCTGCGCAGAGGTTACCAAAGTGGTGATAACCACAGGATCAAGGGTCGTCTTCCAGTTCGCTGGCTGCATTGTGGCACATACTTCGAGTAGTTCTACCAGTGAAGCCACCACCACAGCTGCGCCCAGCACCACTGGAATCCCCGCCACCCAGGAAACCCCGTACTACCAGTGGTATGGCCATTCAGCAGCCTACTCGCAATCGCATGTCTTGTATACCTATTAATTGGATATTCTCACTTTGGACGGAATAAAGAAAATATAAAGCTTTTAAGACCAATTAACTTTTATCTTAATTATTAAATAAGCCTTATATTATAAAAAGCACCAAATTTTTATTAGCACCCTTTAAAATCTAAAATATTAACAGAACAATTTTTTGCTTTGCCGATCTGCATTCCATTTTACCCCCTAGATCACGTTTCTAACTTTATTCCAAAACAAAATACGAATAAACTGAGTAAGGGTATAGTTTTATATCATAGGAAACGTGATGTTCGCTGGATTGAAAAGTGCCGCACGTGAACTGCGTACCGACCGCCCTTCAACCCATCGTCGAAATCAAAATCAAGTTCTCAGTTAAGCCCGCAATTTCCCAGCTATTCTGCTGACTCATGTCTTAGCTCATTCCGTTCCGAAGAATTGCAGCTCGCAGACAATTTCACATGACTCAAGGTTGAGCTAAGCCACCGCGATAATGGCCAATAAATTTCATAATGAGTTGCAAGACAGAATGAAAGCGAGAGAAGAGGCGTCTGGGTTGCCGATTGATATGAAATATATATATGTATATTATAATTTCTATATTATTAATATAATAATTATATGACCGCGACACGTACACACACATTGCCAGAGAATGAGAGCACCGAGTGTTAGGACACCTGGACGTATAAAAGCTGGAATCGATCGAGGTCACGGCATAGTCGCATTCGAATCGTTCTCAGTATGACAGCCCTACTTCCAATTGGATTAGTCCTCCTCACTGCCGTCCAGGCATGGGACTACGGATTACCCTACTACCCAGCACCGCACTATTTCGATCAGTCGCAGTCGCCCCTTGAGTACCCATGTCCAGCATCGGGTCCCGAAAGTCTCGTCTGTGCCGGAGCCCCCGGCGCCCAGCCATCCACCTTTCCCAGTCCCTGCGAAGTCCAGCGATTCAGAGCCCTCACTGGCATAGGTGAGTACCATAGCCTGCGGGTCTGTAAGTCACCACCTGATGCTCATCCGCCCCCTCTTCCACTGCAGACTGGCAGATCATCCATGAGAACAGGTGCGAAACGCTGGAGGTCTGTCCGGATAACTGCCAGGATCAGTACAGTCCCGTCTGCGGAAAGTACAAGGACACCAGGCGCAACTTCCGGAGCGAGTGCGAACTGCAGCTGGTCAAGTGCCGCACAGGACATCGTGAGTACTCAAAATATATATTGAGTTAGGGTCTCACGAGAACAAACACATTCAAATACATCACTTACTTTTATAAATTAGATAAAACATTAAAATATTCCTTATATACCAAACTGTTAGAATTGCAATACTTTTCTCAAATTAAATGTATCTGAAACCGTGTTTTGTGGTCAACAATTAAGTTAATTAATTAACATTTGCTTTCAGAACAAATATTTATTGAGTGCGCAGATATCAAGTGCAAAATGATAATACTTAAAAACGCCACAGAAAGTTTATATTTTAATGGCACGTTTATGTTGACACAAAAATGTCAATAAATACGTCAAAAAAAATGTAAACCGATTATGAATCATAAATTTTATAAGCGAACAAAATAGTCATAGTTAAAGCTTGTTGTAGAAATTATATATCTAATACCAAAAGTAAAAACAACTATAGACTACAATAATCCTGTTTAATAATAGGGATTTTGATTAATTGAAATTTCACTAATTATTACCTGACAAAACTTTCCTAATTGCAGCCTGGAGAAAGCATCACGATGGTCCCTGTGAAAGTAGATATCCAGTGGGTCAGTCGCCTCGCGTTCAAAGCTACAATCCGTATGCGATCAACCCGTATCAGCCGCACTACGGATCTTCTGGATCATATGGCTCTTACGGTCCCAGTCCAGCACAAGGACCCTATGGATCCCAAGCTCCTTACGGCTTCCAAGGACCTCAAGGATCATACGGTCCCTATGGATCGCAATCTCAGCCTCAGGGTTATCCACAAAGATCATTCGTCTCCCCAAAGCCCACTTACGAGGCGCCAGTTTATAACCCCTATAAGATTACGTGGGAGAACCTGCCCACCGAATTTGCCGTAACATCCAAGCCTTATCCCACTACCACCTACGAGTCTTCGACAATTACTGCCACCACCACCATCACCACCACACCACAACCTGCGACAGAAGGCACAACTGTCCCTATAATCACCACCACACCTAAACTTGAAGGGGCAGTAACAACAGAAGCCTCGAGTGGAACCCAAAGTCCCCGGCAGAATATAAAGGTGAATGCAGTGGTGGAAGAGTCAGCAAAAACAACTACGCCTTCTTCGGTTGAAGCCCCGACTACAGTGAAGCCTCAGGCAGCGAAAAAGAGTTCGAAATACTCCACGGAGCCCAGTTCCACGGAGACGAGAGTCACGGAGTCGAGAGTCACGCAGTCGAGAGTCACGAAGTCGAGAGTCACGGAGCCCAGTTCTACAGAGTCCAGTGTCACGGCTCCACCTTTGAAAAAATTCATAACGACTGCCACTCCAGAGCATGCCACTACCACGGCGAGAATTTCAGGACCCTCTCTTTCGATAAACGCCGTAAAGGTACCCGAGCAGGAAGCTGAAAACACCACTGAACAGATCACTACCACAGAGTCGAGTACCGCCAAATCGCAACCAAGCTATCAAACTTATCCATCCTATATAAAATCTCCAGTCACTACAGACGCTCCTGAGGTTGAAGAAGCTACCAAGGTGTCTCTGGATAAAGTCTTCAAAGTAAATGCAGTTCAGGAGAGTACTGAAAAGGCAGCTGCAAATACCACTGAGAAGACCACTGAGAAGATAACTACTTTGGAATCAAGTACGCCTAAAGCCCAACCAACATACCCATCGTATCCAGCCTATCCATCTCCAAGTGTTTATAAAACATATTCAGTCGTAAGCTCTACTGAGATTCCAGTGACTGAAGAGGAGGACAATGAGACAACTGAGATAACCTTAGATAGGGTATTCAAAGTAAATGCAGCTCAGGAAAGCACTGAGAAGACAGTTGCAGAGACTACTGAAAAGGAAAGTAGCACGCCCAAAGTATCACCGTCTTACCCAACATATCCAACTTATCAATCTTCAAATGTCTATAAAACTTATCCAGTCTATGAATCAACTGCGACTCCAAAGGATGAAGATGAGAATACGACAACTGCAATAACATTAGACAAAGTATTCAAAATAAATGCAGTGAAGGAGAGTACCGAAAAAGCAGCTGTAAAGACAACCTCAGAACCAAGTACTCCTAAAGCTGAACCGACCTATCCATCGTATCCCACTTATCCATCACCAAGTGTTTCTTCAGTCTTTAATACCACTGCAATTCCTGAGGATGAGAAAAATACTAAGGTGTCTCTAGACAAGGTTGTAAAAATAAATGCAGTGCAAGAAAGTACTGAGAAGATAGCGGAGAATAACACTGATATAAAATCTAGCACAGAAGCAAGTACACCTAAAGCCCAATCCAACTACCCAACATATCCAACTTATTCATCTCCAAGTGCTTATAAAGAATATTCGGTATATGAACCAACTGAGTCTCCAGTGGATGAAGAGGACGATGAGGCAACTGAGATATCACTAGACAGGGTTTTCAAAGTAAATGCAGTGAAGAACACCACTGAAAAGGCAGCTGAAGCGACGACTGAGAAGATAACTACCCCGGAATCCAGCACTCCTAAAACCGAAAACACCTATTCATCATATCCAACTTATAAAAAATCTACTAAAGCCCCTGAGAATGAAAAAACAACCAGGGCAGCTTTAGATAGAGTATTCAAAGTAAATGCACTGCAGGAATCCACTGAGAAGACAGCTGAAGAGACCACAGATAGTGTCTATAAAAAGTATTCAGTATATGAAACTACTGAGACTCCAGAGGAAGAAGAGACAGAGGACGAGGCAGCCACTGAAAGTCCTTTGGAAAGAGCCATTAAGATCAATGCGGTTGCGGAATCATCTTCGGAAACCAGTCAAAACTCTACCGCCGCACCGACTTCTACCCCGGATATCCTAACTAGTATTCTCTCAGGAATCGGAAATGGACTTAATATTACCTCTACTAATAGTACAGAGAAGGACTCGGAGGATGTGCCCAAGATCGTGAGGACAGAAAGTGTCGGTGAGAATGGTACGGTGGTGAATTTGGAGGTGACTGGCAAGAACGGACCCAAGAAGTTAAATCTCCATACAAATAGTTCCGACAAATCGAGCAATATATTTTTCATATTTTTTGATAGTTTCAACTGAGTATGTTTCCGAGTGTCCAACCATAATCGATTTTACCAGATAAGATAATGTTGCTAATCCCGTTGCTGTTAATAGTGTAAAGTTTAGGAAATTATATGCATAAAGTGTTGTGTTTGAAAGTGTTTTGTGTTTCCATTGACTTAGCGGATGACGGAGAGTGTTTGGTTGGCCAGTTTGAGGGTGTGCACCTTGTAGAAAACCACGTGATTGGCCCCATTTAGTGGGTTGTGATTTATCAGGGATTCCAGATTCACCGAGGGCAGCAACTCGGTGATGTTCTTGCTGTCCTCCAGTTGGTTAAAGGCACGACGCGTCATCTCCTGGATGACTTCCGGTATTCCACTCGCCTGCATCCTGCTAAGCACTCCACGTTGGACCGGGAGTTTTCGTTTGGGCTGCACGATCCTGTTGCTACGTTGATTCACATCGTTGAGCACTGCCATATTGTCACGCAGTCTATGCAACTCCTGCTTCAAGTGATGGCCAATGAACTTGAAGGGCAAGGTCACCACCGAATCGTCCAAGTGTTCGTGTTCCTCATCAGCCATGTCATTTGCATTTAAATCCTCGTTCAACTTGCACTTGGGTTCGCCAGAGGCCCAGACCCCACCGCAAATAATCAATCCATATAAAAAGGTGAGCTACAGTGAAGTACAATAAGTTTGGTGTGTTTCCCCGCTGCGATTCTTACCATTAAATAGGAGTACTTCATGTTTCAAATTATATTTCTTTTCTTCTTGTTATTGTTTGTTGTCAATCAGTAGAGATACTGGAAAATTCATTTGCAATTCACTGACAAGAAAGGAAATGCTTACTTTGCTGGAAAAGCTGAGCTTACTTAATTTGATTTTCTTAATCAAAATCGAAAAAAAAATTTGTTTAAAAACAAAATACAAATCTTTAACAGAGAGAGTTATTTGTAATGCCATATTTTTTTAATTTATAAAATTGAACAAGTTTATAATTTATTTAAATATTTTATGCTTTGTGATACCCAAGGTTATGTTCGTTTGTTAAAAAGACTGAAGTTTGAAACTTTTTTAAACCTAATACTTTAAATCTTGTGTTATGTTAGCATACCAGATTTCCACTTCTTTAAGCAAGTCTCTTTAAATATTTATAAACTTTAAATTCACAACTACATCCAGAAAAATGTTTTAATGTGTTTATTGTTTTATTATTTATCCTAAGCAGCTGCATAAATAGATTTGATAAATATTAAATAGCAGAGTTTGCAGATGGTTATCAGGTACTTTTCGTGGATTCTTGAGTGGTGCTGCTCAGGTGGGTCATCGCCTGCGAATCCTCCGTTGTGGATTCGTCACTAATCTCAGTGGTGCTGGGCACTAGATCTGTGGTGTAGGTCTCCATGGTGGTGGTGTCCGGTGGATTACTGATCCCGGTCGCTTTGGTGGTGGCCAAAACGGGTGTGGGTGTGGTGGTGCCACCGCCCACGGAATACGACTCCGTGACACGACCCACTTCTGGCAGGAACATCGAGAGCGAGGAGTCGGTGATCTCGGCGTAGTCGTGACCCACATCGGGAATGTTGTACACATTGTAGGCATCCACTGCCCGGGAAACGGAGACCATGGGATTGGCCAGGCCCATCAGCTGCTGGAATTGCATGGGCGAGGGACTGGTGCTGGTGGGTTTGGTGGGTCTAGTCCTGGGCGTGGTCGTGATTCTGGTGGTGGTCGGAGTGGTGACCCTTCGAGTGGTGCTACTGGTGCTCCACGGAGCAGGAGTGGCCAGCATTAGGTACACCTTCTTTGGATTAATGGCCAACTTCGAGGTGGTGGCCTTGGTTGTGGGTCGCTTATTTTTGTTGCGGCGCAGCTTCTTCTTGCGTCCACTTTTCGTTGGTGTTTGGCAAGGACCCGAGTGCAGAATTCGCAGGACTAAGCAATCAGAAGAAGTGATATTTGGGATTATACAAATCGGGAAAGGCAAATAAAAGTACACTTTTAAATCTTTATATTCCTAATTACTCATTGTTAATCTTATTAATATCATTAGCCCTAGATTGAAATTGTTTTTGCCCTTTTTTGTGTTTCATTTTGGATGTTTTACATCGTTGGTTGATTAGTAATTTAATGGCAGTTGTCAACTTTAATGAATATGCAAAATAATGTGATGGTAAAATAAGGCCATATTTTAAAGGAATAATTGAGACACTTTGATCTAAAGTAAAAAAAGTCTTTGAATATCACATATTCTCATTATAGACATAAAAATGATTTTTTTCAAGATATGTAGAGATTTTTTTTACGCCCAAATGAAATATTTTAATATTTTTTTTATATAATCTAACAGAAAACATTTAGTGAAGGATGAAATCTTTATGTAGTTAATAAAGAAAACTTTGTTTTCTTTTTTGACTGACCTTGCTTCGTGTGGCACTCGCGTCGGCGCATCTCGCACTCGTTGGTGAAGGTTTGGGGAAGGGCTCCTCCAATCTCGGCCAGCGCGCAAACTGGGCGCTCCACCTGGGTGCACTTCATCGTCTGGCAGGTGGGCAGGCATCGCTCCATCTCCGTGGGCTCCAGTTCTGCATGGGAATCACTCAGTGCAGTTGGAGGAGATTGGGTTTCGCGAATAAAGTAAATCAAATAAGACAAAGACAAAGAAGGCATTTTAAATTGGTAAGTGCAAATAAATTTTTAAAATTCTTAGCCCTGATTTTATTTGAAATTCACTTAATTATAATAAAAGAATTTGCCTAGACTGCACATTTTAAATTAGTAACGTATTGTTTTTAACTCAAGAAAAGGTAAACACATTTAATACACTCCGTACTTTTTTCAACAATTTTCTGTGGTATTTGATGATTATTTTTGTGATAATTCCCTGAAAATAAATGGCTTAATTATTTTTAAATTATTAAATTATTCTAGAACCAGTTGTGTGTTTGATTTCTCTGAAAAGTCCGAAAGACTTGCTACATTATGCTTAAATTTACTTGAATGTGAAGTAATAAAATTGATATTGGTTGTAATTTAACATGTGTAAGTATGGCTAGATTAATTTTCCTATTGCTTGTACATTTTTTTTTATAATTAATATCAATATATGGGGGGAATTAATTGAAAATATTTTCACATAGGAATTCTGTGAAGCAGAGTTTCGTGTTTTTCCGAGCTCACCTGTGCCGTACTGGAAAAGCAGCTTCATGTTGGCCGCCTCCAAGCGGCAGTTGTTCTCGAAGTAGAAGCTATCGGTGCCATTGGTGGCACAGACTGGCACTCCGCCGGACTGGCAGTTGGGCTGGTAGTCGACGTACTGGATCTGCATGGGACCCAGGCCCTTGGGGTCCTTCTCGTCGGGGTCCTGTCCCACTCCCGCCTCGCCCAGGATTCGGGCGTACTGATCGCTGGTGTAGTGTGGATCGCTTAAATGCCAGTCGGCAATGGGTGAGTATTTCTGGGCCATTACCCCTCCGCCAATAAATCCGATGATCAGGATCAGGATCGGCATCAGGATCGGAATAGTGGTTACAGGTTTCATGATGGTGAGTTTCCGATTCTGCTGCTGCGACTGCATCTCGAGTTGCTTGTGACCTCTAAAGATCACATCCAAAGCTTTATATTGGAACTCGAGCGACTTATCGCAAAAGTTCGCACTACATTTTTACACTGACGCTGCATTTATCGCTGCAAAAAATGCATATTTTCTTATGCCAGTTTTTTTTGCGATAAGCAGGTGGCTCTGACCATTCATAATTATTTATCGCCCTGTGAACTGTGGGTCATTCACGTGTTTGCTTATCAGTCAGCTACTTTGAGGTCATGATCATGTAATGGTTGTCCAGATAAAGAAATAATAATCTGGTGACAATGCAATGCTTACAAGTATGCTTTGTAAAATAATTAGTTTACTAATTGGATTACAATTTTATCTATTATTTGACTTTGATATTTTGAGTTTTTTAAGTTTTTCTAACGATTAAATTTGACCTGCGCTCGAATTTTACTAACAATTTGATTTAACTGACTATTTCAAAACTTTTATTTTAAGTATTAACATGGTTCAAGAAATAATTGTATGGTTGTGATCGATGCTTACAAATATAAAGCTAACTCATAAATGAATTATCAACAAAACAAACTGTTGAACTTAAATATTAAGTATACGTAAAATGGCATAGCTTCGAAGTTCAAAAGCCTTAAAGCCTTTGAAAGGCTGTCAAAGCTAAGGAAAAGCTTTTGCCAGAATTTAAACAGAATGTTGTATACGAAAGTTTACCTTTGTGTATTTAAAGATATGATTTTACCATTATTTTAACAATTTAAAGACAGTTTATATGATGTCGTATACATTTTATTTAGTTAAAAAAGTTATTTTAGTTTGATACTTATTTAAAATAGTCAGACTGTAACCTATAGGTCTTTATTATAATAAATTGACCTATAAATAAATATAAATAAATAACTCAAATTGCATTATTTAAAGAACTAGTTTCACCAGGTAACTCTGCCTCCAAGTTATTTGTTGTAAAAATTATTAATTGTTAAAAAAAAAACTCGTTAGCGTTACCCGAAGAATTTAGTAAAGAAGTACTGTGCAAAATTTTAAACCAATTCATTCAGTAGATTTTGCATGATTGTGTTCACCGACTTTGAAAATGACAACTTTTCAGGAGAGCGTTTTAAAGTTTTGGACACCCAAAAATCAAATATATAAAAATCGCTAACTTAACTACGTTCAACTGCCAATAACTTCGGAAGTTTTATTCGGATCAATCTAAAATGCTAACACAATATTCTTGAAATGTTGTGCATTCAGAAAAAAAATGTAAATACTGTAACCCCCCTAAACGATCCTTTAAAGTCTTTAGCTTATCTGTTAGAAAATTTAGAGAATCTTGGTTGGACCAGAAGACATTTGTTTTATCTATTGGATACATTTTATTTAAGTCATCGAGTACCCTTCTTCTGCATCAAATTAAATTAATTAATTAAAATTGGGCCAGAAAACTATTTTTCTAAATAACCTTATTCTCGTATTCTCCTTATCAATTCAAATGTGCAATATTTCATTAGACAAACTGCGCTTATATATCCCAAAGAATGCACAATGTCTAGCAGAAATACTTGTTTAAACAAATAAATAAACCTTTCCACAAGGAATTGATATAAAAATTGTGTTCAGACTGCCTGAATAAGTATCTTTATCTTTTGGGGACTGACACAGCTGCTTTTCCGTTGTCCTTGGAATGGATCGAATCCTGAGCTCTATTCCAACCGAAATCCATGCCCAGTTTCAGATGTGGTGCAAAGTTTTTGAGCGTCAGCAAACAGGCAACTTATATTTGGGCAAGTTTATTGCTTTGCCGTTATTGAAAATGAAAGAGCAAGGGCGTCCGTTCGTCCTGTCCCGCCCCCCTGTCCCTAAGCCACCCCACTCTAAATGTCCTGCACATCCTTTCCACACAACAAACACACGCACACACACACACACGTAGAGTAATCTGCATATGCTTATGTGTGGGGACCAGAAGATACAATTTATTAAACTCTCCTTACACATACACAGCTAAAAATGGCCAAAGCAAACAACAAAAGTTTCCTATTCCCTTACAGGACGAAGGGTCCTGAGCCATCCAAATCCATTATGGAATCCAACAATGGAATGCTGTGGCACGGAAACAAAAGGAAAAGACGGAAGTCATGGAACGGAAGCAGGATGAATAGAGAGTGCATTGGAACCACCGACCGAAAGCATGAAGTCCAAGGTAAGACTTACCTAAAATGGTCGAGAAATCGAAACGCAGATTATCAGAGAATTAAATCTTTCAGAGGAATTCCACTTCACAATCGGGTTGCAATTGGTCATGTTATGGGGTGAATAGTGCAAGCTTTGGTTTTGCATTCTGCAGTTCCATATTCAGATGATTTTACAATTTTTTTCAAAAACAAAGAAAATCTACCAAACTTAAAACAAAAATTCTCGTAACTATTAATAGGAAATATAATCGGAAAAGTCTGTTGTTAAACCAAATATAGCCAAGTTATGGGCTCCAGAATATATTTAAATTTAATATTTAATTTATTTTAAATTATATAAATTTTTTTCTAAAATAATATAATATAATATTTGCTATTGGGTAAATTTTATAAATTTTATTTTATTACAAAATTTAAAATACGCAGGATTTGATATTATAAATATAAAAAGAACAGAGATTTTTGTTCAAAAATTGTTTTTTTCAATTGGAAAAATGTAGTCTATGATTAACACTAATTATTAAAAATTAATACTTTGAATTACCACTAGGTTTACCACTACCAAAACAGGACAACATAGAGTAAGCGTAATTCGATGCTGCTACCAGATGATGGTTGATTTTGCCATTCGGTTTGCTTTCTGTTTTGGTCGCGCACAAAGTAAAGGGGGTGAAGGTGGCGAAGGATGAAGGATGAACGACGAAGGACGAAGGGCAGGGCTTGTCTGAGTGTTTGGATGGGGGTGTGGGCCAAACAATAAACAAACAAACAAGCTGCAAAAGTGTCACACATTCATCATACATTGTAATATGCCTGTGGACCGGGCCAGAACATCCTGCATCCCGATCCCGATCCCGATCCCAACTCCTGCCAGACTTGGCCAGTCTCTGCTTACTGTCACGTCACTGGCCACTAGTCACCGGTCACTGGTTAGTGGCCATGGTATTTTTTCCTTGCCGGATTCCAAAGCTGGGAAATCGAAAGAGATGGCGTTGGCCGTGGAAAATGGATAAAGTCAGGAAATCGCGAGCTGCACACCTAAGCCACACTAACCGAAAATTGCCTTTTAAAAAGTCAAGAAAAGTATAACAAACAGCACTATTAGAAAACTCAAATGCTATCTTAAAAATTAAAAAAAAAATTTTATTACTTTAAGAAATTAAAGATAGGTAAAGCAATCGAGTTTTTGGTTAATTTGTGTATTTGCGATCAAATGTTTAGTCTCTTTGATTTTGTACTTTTTCTACTTTTACTAAGCAATATTGAGTTTCTAAATTTCATTTTATAAAACAAAATTATATAAAGCTTCTTATGTAATTTAAAAGTTAATAATCGTTTAAGTGCAAAGCGAGTTAGTTATATTTCTTTCAGTGCATTGCTAGAAGGTGCGGTTGCATAACTATGGAAAAAGTGCAAAAAGGTCAGTAAATTAATGTGCAAAACGGGCGCTGGATAAACTTTGAATGTGTCGTCCATGTGTGTGCTGCTGTTTGTGTTGTGTGTGTGTGTGTGTGTGTGTGTGTGTGTGTGTGTCCTGGAAAAGCTGTCAGTGGGCGTGGCAGAGCCGCCCCCAGGCTAGCCGTGAGAGCAAGGGGCGGGGAAAAGTCGAAGGGAAGTTTGCTTTGAGTTACGGCCTCCTCGGTTCGCAAAAGGCACTCACACAAGTAAACAAACAAACTCACAGGCACACAGACACACTCAAACACACGCACAGCACTTTCATTTACACAAACACAAACACAAACACAAATAGGATTCAGATTTTATCAAAGGGTTATCGAGGGGCGAAAAAGAAAAACATAATAAATAGAACCAGCAGCCGCATTTATTTTTCAATTTATGCGCCCAAGGATAATGATAAATTCGTTAGCTCTGCCGCATAAATTCACTCCAAGTTGAAGCCGCCCCATCTTAAATTAGATGTTAAATTTTCAACTAATAAATCAATATTTAAATAATTTATACAAATTGGGTATGTTTCTGGGTTCCCCCATGATGATCGATTACCACACGACTCCCTGTGTTTTATTATTTTTATACCCTTCCAGGGGGTATTATAATTTCAGTTTAAAGTTTGCAACGCAGTGAAAGAGACATAGGAGTATACTTATTCTTAATGAGCTGAAAAATACAATTTTTTTCTGTGAATGCCACTTTTCAGGGATTTTATTAAAAAACCGAAAAATCGAGCTGATCTTTGCCGGTTTTTGGATGAAATATTTTTCACAAGGGGTACCCTCATGATATTTTGAGAAAAATATTTTTTATAAATTTTTTCTGTGAATGCAGTTTTGTTAAAAATTTTGCAAAGAATTCAACGAGGTATGCCATTCCAACATGCGACCACTATTTCCCAGGGTTTTGATTAAAACACCGAACAAATAGTTGATTTTTCGGGATTTTGTTGTAACATCATGTTTTTTTTCCCGAAAATTGACAGCATAAAATTTTTAAAAAATTTTTCAACTCATACAAGGGTATATAATTTTTGACTTGCCGAAAATTGCTTCCCTTTTTTTATTATTATTTTTTTTTTGGTATTTAGGGGTTGCTCACACAATTTAAGCGACATATTGCTAGGGGTTTTTTTTTGGGGGGTTTTATGTGATTATGATTATGATGTGCGGTTGCCTGACAGGGGAATATGCAATCTATGCGCAAAATAAATTACTTTCAAATTAGTTTCCACAGGTGCGGCGAAACGAGTTGAGTAATTCACAGAGGAATCCCTCATTCGTGGGTAAAAACTGTTGACATTTCACCAGCTTATCCAACAAATATGCGGAAAACTTTTTTAATGTCAAATTTTAGGACTTT